TTGGCCAATTCTGCTTTTTAAGGAGTTCTTTATTCCAGTGAATTTTTTGTATACCTTTTTCCATTTGGTCAATTCCGTTTTTAAGGAGTTTTTCTCTTCAGTGGATTTTTGTGCCTCTTTTACCATTTAGCTTATTCTGTTTTTTAAGTAGTTATTTTATTCAGGTGTGTGCATGCTTTCAGGCACATGCATGCCTCCTTTACCAAGCCATGGACTCTTTTTTCATGATTTTCTTGCATCACTCTGATTTCTCTTTTCAAATTTTTCTCTACCTTTCTGATTTGATTTTTTAAAATCCTTTTTGAACTCTTCCAGGAATTCTTTCTTGGGGAGGGGGTGCCTGATACCAATTCAAGTATTTTTCTTTAAGGCTTTGCATGTAGCTGTTTGGACATTGTTATCTTCTTCTGAGTTGATGTTTTGATCTCTCCCTATAGTAACTTTCTATTCCAACCTAACTAAAGGTTAGGTTCCTTTTTTGTTGTTTGCTTTTATATTAATTTGGGCTTTCCTCCTCAGTAGAGATGGCACTGTCCCAAGTTTCAGGTTTTTCATACTGCTGTTTTCTGAGCTAGCTCAGGGGTGGGGGGTGTCTGTAGGTTTTTGGCTCTTCCAGGGTGGTACGATCTAAGGACAGGTGTGGTCACCACTTTCCTAGCCTGTGCTCTGGTCTGTGAGTGATCACAAGCACTCTTTTCTGCCTTGGAAATGTATCCAGGAACCCTGATTCTGCTGGTGCTCTTCCTCGTCCTGGGACTGTGACCCAGAAGTCTATATGAGCAATACAACAGAGTCCTGCTCCCAGTAAAAGACAAAGAGTCTCCTGTAATTTCCTTCTGACCAGTCATATGACACCCCCCCCCCATCTGTGGGCTAAGAGATCCAGAAGGAAGCCACTGCCACAGATTCAGTCACACCAAGGCCTGCTGCTGGCTTACTAGGGAGTGGCCTGCATTGGACTTCATTCTACTCTCATCCCAGTGAGACAGATCTTTCCTGCTGACCTTCTAAGTCGTCCTGGTCTGGAAAATTGTTCCACTCCATCCTTTTGTTGGTTCTGCTCCTTCAGAATTCATTTTGAGGAATTATTTTAATGTTTTTTGGTGGGGAATTTGGGAGAGCTCATGTGAGTCCCTGCCTTTACTCCACCATCTTGGCTCTGCCCACTCCACTATGCCTTTCTTAATGAAAATTAATATTGTTCTAGCTTTTGGCAGTCATGTCACATTTCCTCCCCTTCTTTTGGGGGATAGAGATGGAGGGAGGTGGATTAGAGGTTGTGACATTCAGAAATCAGGACTTAGAGGAAGTCAGGCAAGGAACTACTTCCCTACGAGCTACCTGGAGCAATTGAAGAAATGTCCACTTTTTGGGGGGGGAGGGATTTGAGAGGATAGAGGAGATTTAGTACAACTGGTGAAATTTGCTATAAAACCAGTGGTAGAAGCATGGTAGCATTTGGGTAAAGATCAATGGAAGCAGAAATAAAATTAGTATTGTTGTCAAAGTATATACTACAGCTACCTAGGTAGAAGGTAATAGATGAGAAATTCTGGAAATAGATAATAAGCTTGGGTGGGCTATAGAAAGAAGGATGATATGGTAGCCTAAGAACAGCCTGTGCAAAGATATGGGGGTAAAAGATCGAATGGATTCTATAGGAAACAGTGAGTTCAATTTAATTAGTATGGAAAATACATGAGGACAAATAACATAAGAAATCAGTCTGAAAACAGAAGTTAGAAGCAGTTTGTGAAGGGTTTTAAATAACAAATAGAAGAGTCAGTATTTTATCCTAGAGACAAAAGGGAGCCAGTCAAAGTTCTTGAACAGCAGAATGTCACAGTTGAGTTTTAGTAATGTCATTCTGGCAGCTGTTTGGAGGATGAATTGGGAAGGAGAGAGACTGAAGGAAGGGAGACCAGTAGGGAGGCTATTTCAATAGTCGGCATGAGAGGAGATGCAAACAAGCTTACATTGTAGAAGGAAGGAATGTGAAATCAAGAGAGAACAAGACTGGGCAACTCTGATTGGACACCAGTGTGAGGAAGATTGAAGAATCAAGGATAACTTCAAGGTTACAAGCCAAAGTGATGGAGAGGTGCTGATGCCCTTAACAGAGAAAGGAAATGAATGAAAAGGAGTGAGTTTTAGGGGGGAAAGGTTCTTCCGGCCACCATGGCTGCCTGATCAGGAGGTAGACTTCCTCACTCCTACGTATACACTCTGGCAAAACCCTGAAGTTTGTACTGGACCAAATAATGATCACAAAATCCACTTAGATGACACAGTGACTTTTTCCACTCTGGGAGTACACAAAAACCTCCCACTCAGTTCAGGAAGTCCTTCTACAGCAGTTACTCTGAAGGATAGATGTGTGGACCAACCTGTGGATGTCAAGTGCCTTCTTGAATATTTCCAATGACAGAGAGCTCACTACTTCACAAAATAACCTAGTCCATTCCTGGGCAGCCCTAATTATTAGAAAGTTTCTCTTTATACTGAGCCAAAATCTGCCTTGCCATAACTTATGCCATTTGGTCCTAATCTTGATCTCAGGAGATACAAAGATGTCTGTTTCTTTTTCTACATAGTAGTCCTTCTGAGATTTGAATATAACTATCACATCCTTTTCTCTGAACTCTTCCTTCAACCAGAATGACTTTTGTTTAGCCTCACTCATTGAAGGCCCATCAAAATCCAGAGACTAGTAGAATCAGAAATAGTTATTGCAGTATGGCCTAGTGGAAAGAACATTGCGTGATGCTGGGTAATTTAATTTATCTGTGCTTCATCTTTTTCATTTGTGTAATGAGCATAATCACTTATGTCCTGCCTACTTCACAGGGTGGTAAGGAAAGTGCTGTCTTCAGGTTGGGGCCTATCCCAAAAATCTTAGTGTGATTTTAGGCTTAAAAACTAAAACTTTTGGGACACCTTGAATTGAACACCACCTGAATCTTAAGTGGGAGTTCTCATGTAAGAAGTAAAAAAACAAAAACAAAAACAAAAATCTTCTAGTCAATATTTAGAATCACAGGAATCTAAACTGATGATGTGATCTAAGGTGAGGACAGAAGGAAGATCTTAGAGATTAAATGTGAGACAGCAGAGAGGACACAGCCATTGACATCAGGTCTATACCATAATAAATGAATCTTACGGCCAAACTTTCTCAAGAACCATCCATCCTCTCTGCGAACAGAGGGAGAAGTGACCAGGGTTCTAGCCTTTCCCTTAGTACCACTGTATCATCAATCTTCACATTCACATACCTATTGCATCCCTGACTAGACTGTGAGTTTCTTGAAGGCAGGGACTCTCACTTTTGTATTTGTGTCCCCAACATCTAGCACAGTGCCTTGACATATAGCAAGTGCTTAATAAATGCTTGTTGATTGATTTATTCCAACACCATTATTTTATAGATGAAGAAACAGACCCAGAGTGGTTAAATCACTTAGCCAGGGTCACATGGGTAGCACAAAACAATCACAATGAACATTTATATAGTGCTTTAAGGTTTACAAAGTCTTCTACATGCATGATCTCATTTCAGATTCATAATAACCTTTTAGGTAGGTACCCTAAGCATCATTATTTTCATTTTACAGACGATGAAACTGAAGCTTGGGGAGAATGTATACTCATAACTTTCCTTATGACAGCCAGCTGCCATAGGAGGTATAGTATTGAAATCAGGAAGGTCCCAGTTCTAATTCTGCCTCAGACACTTACTAGCTGGGTAGCCAAGGACAATAATTTATCTTCTCTTAGTTTGTTCTACTCATCTGTAAAATGGGGATAATAATAGCACATATTTTAAAGGGTTGTTGTAAAGCTCAAATTAGATAACTTGTTTAGAGCACTTTACAAACCTTAAAGAACTATATAAATGTTAGCTATGATGATGATGATCATGATGGCCACGTAACTAGTAGCTGTCAAACACAGGAAGAATCCATCTCTCATCCTGACTCCAAGTCCAGAATGCTGTCCCAAAGTGGCAGAGCTGTGAGATGGCACTTTTGTTTTTTAACCAGCCTGTAACTATTTCTGGGTCTCCATACATAATGGAATTTCAGGAATTAGCCAGCAGGTGGGGGAGACATTTTCTTGGGGAGAAAAGGGGCCTCTGAAATTACAACTCTAGACAGCTGGCCCTGCCAATGACTTAGTCAGAGCCTGGGATTGGATCGTGGCTTCTTAAAGAAACCCTGTCTCAATCACCAGGCCTCTCCAGTTACTGAGCTTTCCAGGCAGCTGCTCCCTTATTTTCATAAGGAGTGAGGGGACCTTAGGGAAAGAAAAGATTTGGTCTTTCTGTCCATTGCAGGTCCAAGACAATCTGAACCGACAGAGCTAAGGTATCTTTCATTAGCTTATTTCTCTGACACTATGGTTTATTCTAACAATATTGCCTGGAAGTGATTATCCCAGCATTCATAAATATAGGTGAATTGAAAGGGTGTTTAGAGATAACCCATGACTCCAATCCATGCGTCTCATTTAAGGATCATTACATTTAGATCTGGGAGGGACTTTAAGAATCTTCTAGTTCAAACTTCTCATTTTATGGAGAAGGAAACGGAGGTCCAGAGAAGCGATGATAACTTGCCTGTAATCACAGAAGTACAAAGGCTAGAATTTGAACTCAGGTCCTCACCCTAGAGCCAGCGCTCTTTCCCTTACACCAAGCTGATATGGAGCCTAAAACATAACTAGGGGAAATGTTTTGCCTCAGGAAACTAACTGCTAGATCTTGGATTCCATAAAACCCGGTTCTTCCAATTCCCGTGTCTGTCATTCAAAGCCCACAGCGAGCTTCAGCCTCAGAGCTCCGACTACAACTCCCATAACAACTTACCACTACGCGAGTTAATTCCCTCCCTACCCCAGACCACCTGACAGTTGCTACTGCCAGTAGCCAAGGAGAGTTCCCAGGACCGCATTCACAAAGACCAATCGCGGGAGGAGATGGGCGGGCTTTTCCTGTCCATTGTTCTCGGCGCCCGAGCGTCCAGCCCGAGCTGGCCCGGGAGCTCTGCTGAGCCCGGGGGCGCGCGCCGCCTCCGTGTCCGCGTCCCGGGCGCCCTTCGCGGGGAAGTGCCCCCAGTCCCCCGGCCCGCCGGGCCCCTCGAGCCACGGTGAGTCCAGAGGCGCTGGGAGCTGAGACAAGAGCGGGTCCCTGGAGGGGAGGTGCGGGGGAGGGGAGTGTAGAGGAATAACGGGCCCCGCAATCCACCCGGGGGCGGGGGTCCTGCGGAGCCGCTGCCCACCCCTCGCCGGACCGCTTCGCTTTGCGTGACTGCCCTCTGCGCCCTGTGCTGCTCCAGTTTCCAAACCTTTTCTGTCTCTGAGCCTTCCTTTAATAAGAGACTCCGCTTCCATGCAGCATAGCTTTATGTAACTGCTCCCCCGAACACTGGCTTAATAATAGTGGTGTCCTCGCACCGGAGCATCGCAGCTTCTTGATCATTCCCATAATAATCGGGATGAGAGTCTGTGCCCAGGCGGGAGGCATCCGCACAAACCCCCAGGGGACTGGGAGGTTCACTGAAGTTTGGAGCTAAGGGATTTGGAACGTTGACCGGGCCAATCCCCAGCCTTCTCTTCTTTTTACAGGTGGTGAAATTGAGTTAACAGGTTAAGTGACTTACCCAAGTCAGTTAATGGCAGAGACACCTACCTGGTAGACACACACCTGGTCTCTCGTTCATTCTACAGCTAGCTACCCTTTCCTCTTAGCAGTTATCCCCTGGTGGGGGAATCTGTTTGAGGTTTTCTCTGCTCTGATTTTCTTTCGGCTCCTTGATAATGCTGCAGTATTCTGTGGGTTTTGTAGAGCAGCCAAAGCAGCTTGGATGTTTGATCTCTCTTTTTTTTGTTCTGATTCCCTTGCTTGTAAGTATCTATCTACTTAAGAGGTGGAGAAATGAAGTCATAGAAGTTTGAAGGAGGTGAGCCACAGTAACTGTTCCAAGGTCACAGACTCGGTTGAGCGGTAGAACAGGCACTAGGGAGCTCAACCTTGCTGTCCTTAGACTGCCAGAGAATGTCTGGTCCTGGTTACTTCCCACAGGAACCATCCTGTGGCCTTGAGGGAAGAAATATGGTCTGTAGTTTGTAAAGTGGTGGTTGTGGTGGGTGTTTTAAACTTGACCCTCCACAGGGAAATAAATTTGAGTTCAGGAATACATCATTCTTCTTTTACTTGTGAGGGGGTGCTGTTAGTCTGATATACAGATTATTTTGTGGCCTGATATGGAACCTCAGTTGTCAGTGCCTTCACCTCCAAGGTTTACCTTGGATCTACTTTATGTCTTTCATATTCATCTATAAGTACATGTTGTCTTGTCTATTAGAATGTAAGCTTCTTGAGAGCAGAGCTGTTTTCACTTTTTCCTTGTATTCCCAGTGTTTAGCTTAGTGCCAGGCATGTAGTGTTCCATAAGTAGTTACTGACTGACTGTGTAAGTGAAATTATTTTATAGTACTGCTGTTAATAGACTCACTCTGTCAAATCTCTCTTAGAAGTGACTCCCCAAAGGTCAAGGTTTGAACCTTCAAGTGCAAGCAGCAATTAGAGGGACATCTTCCTCCAGAGTTGGACAATGGCTGGAGAAGTCCCAGGAATGACTGCCGCCTTCGATTCTTTGGCCCAGACGACAGAAGAGGATGAGGAGGAGGAGGAAGAGGCCTCAACAATGATACTGGAAGATGAGGACTCCTCCTGGAAGCCTGGTTTAGCCCTGCAGGGGGACAGCTACGACCCTGAATCCTTCCATCAGATTAAAAGTAAAGTTGAGTATCAGGAGGCCACTGAGCCCAGGGAATCTCTTAGCAGACTCAGGGAACTCTGTCAGCGATGGTTAAGGCCAGAACTACATACAAAGGAGCAGATGCTGACTCTGCTGCCTGGGGAGATTCAGGCTTGGTTGAGGGAGCATCGGCCAGAGAGCAGCAAGGAGGCGGTGGCTCTGGTGGAGAACTTGACCGAAACTCTTCGGGAGAGTGGTGAGAATCAGAAGTTTATTGGGAGAGGGAAGGAGGTCTCCTTAAAATTGGAAGCTAAGTAACTAGAAGGGAGAGGAGTAACTAAAATAATTTCCTTGGCATCAGCCGGGTGGGTTGAGGGCTGAACATTGAATAGTAAACTCTGAGGGAGCTCACATACCAACCAGAAAACTCAAGCCCATTTTTCTCCTCGTACTCTGCTTGAATGAGACAGAAAGCAGATGACAAGTGAACTAGGAGAGGCAGGGGGATCAAGTAGGTTGTAGTAGAATGAGTACTGTATTTGGAATTAATGGGCCTGCCACTTACTAGGGGAGTAAGGGGGGGGGTGATGGGGGAAGGATGGAAAACAGTGGAAGGTGTTTGTGTAAGTGACAACCTCTTTTGGCCTCAGTTTCCTTCTAAAAAATGAAGGGATTTGACTAGATAATCCCCAAGGCCCTCCCAACTCTTAAGCTTCTAATCTTCAGTGATCTAATTTGATAATCAGGTTTCCTAAAGTATATATTCAGCCCTCTAGTTATTCCTAACCTGTTCTTGATGGGCTCTAAAATGAGTACCAGTGAGGTTTTGTGACCCCAGTCACAGGTAGCACATACTTTTTAAATTGATGAAATTCACATTCTGGAAAGACTTGTTTCCATATAAAAATAACCTTTTAAAAGTCTTTGGAATATGCTGTACATGAAGTCTAAGACAGCATATGCTCCTGTACCCAGCTTCCCCACAGCCAAGCAGGAAGCCCATGTGGCTGCAGCTGCCTTGGAAGATGTGATGATCAGTATGGCAGTGTTGTTGATAACTGGATTGTAGCAATTTAGTGAGCATTTATTAAGCACCTGTTGTGTGCAGAGCACTGTGCTAGGTGCTGGGAGAGATACTAAATTGAGATATTACTGGTCACTACATTCAAGGAGTTTGCAGTTTAGCAAAGGGATGACAGCATTTGGAGGCAGCTAGGTGGCATAGTAGATAGAGCCTTGGGCCTGGAGGCGGGAGACCTGCCTGAGTTCAAATCTAGCCTCAGACACTTCCTAGCTGTGTGACCTTGCGCAAGTCACTTGTCCCTTGTTTGCCTCATTTTCCTCATCTGTACAATGTGGGTAATAAAGGCAGCTAGGTGGAGCAGTGGATAGAACACTGGGCCTGGAGTCAGGAAGGCCTGGGTTCAAATCACTTCAGACACTAGCTGTGTGACTCTGGACAAGTCACTTAACCCAGTTTGCCTCAGTTTCCTTACCTATAAAATGAGCTGGAGAAGGAATGGCAAATCACTAAAGTAGATTTGCCAAGGAAACCCCAAATGGGGGTCATGAAGAGTCAGGCATGGCTGAAAATGACTGAACAATAATAGCATCTACCTCCCAGGGTTGTTGGGAGGCTCGTATTGGTAAAAAGTACTTGGTGCAGTGCCTGGCACGTAGCAGGCATTACATCAATCCAGTCAGATAGATACCATGCACAGTGTCATACGTTGAGTGCAAAACAAAGTGAAGTCCAAGGGGGAAGGAAGGCTGGGAGTGACCTGAGGGATCAGAGAAGCCTCTTCTATGTTAAACTTGGTGTACTATAGGACTACAGGTATGGGTCTTGCCCTCTAGGAGTTTAGAGTCAGACGGGGGAGGAGAAATTCCACCAAATGGAACAGAATAATGAAGTGCCTAATTAGTTAATTAATGATTAATGTGATAAAGATGGGACTAATAGTTCAAAGAACAGAGAGTTTTAATGGGAGCTGTAGTTTTTCGTGAACATTTCATGGCAGAAGTGCTGCTTGAATTGGGCCTTGAAGGATGGTTAGGATTTGGACAGCTAGAGGGAAGGAGCGTGGAGAATAGCATGAGCCAAGACAAGAAAGTAGGAAGGAACAGTCACTTCTGCCTTCTGCTTGACTGCTTGATCCGGTTTTCATTGGGGTTTGTACGCCCAGGAGATCTCACAAGTTGGCTTTACACATAGTGGGTGCTTAATAAGTGCTGGTTGGGTTGCATTAGAGCAGACTGGTGAGGACAGTGAGGTTACCGGCCTGATTGGAGTATAATGATACATTATCTGTGTATATATATTATCTATAAAATATTATCTGTATATATTATATATTATCTGTATAATGAGAGAACTGGGATGAGTTGTTGAATAAGTTCCCTTCTAGCTTAGGAAATCTGTGATTTAAAAAAGGAGGAGTAGGAAATAAAATTGGATAGGGAAGGGCAGGACTAGATTCTTATGTCAGTTCTTGCAAACCACATAGAGGAGTTTGATAAGGAGTCATTATTAGAGGTTTGGTTTTTGTTTTTTTTAACCAGGGATAAAAAGAAATATATTTTAGGAAAATTAGTTTGGAAACTGAATACAGGAGGGATTTCAGTTGTAGGGAAGGGCGGCATAAGGCATGAAGGGTTAGAATCTAGATGGGTGGTAGCAGTAGGAAGAGAGAAGAATGTGTGACTTTGAGATATACTTAAGAAATGATAGGACAGTGGTGATAAATGAAAGAAATGGAGGAGAGAGTGGGAAGTGATCTTCTAGGTTTCTAGTTTGAGAGGTGGTAAGAATGGGGTAGTCCTAAAACAGGTCAGAGAGTTGGTTTGGTAATAAAGATGAGTTCAGTTTTAGACAGGTTGAATTTGAATTTATGGCAAGAGGAGGAGTTCTCTGAGCAGTTGGAAAATCCCAAAGTAGAGTCAAGGTGAGAAGATAGAAGGTAATCTCTAAGACTGTGTGAGGGCCAGAGAAAATCGCAGTATGTGAGTCCCTGTGACCTTCTTTTATACACATGACAAACAGCTATTTATACACCTGCATAACAAGAGCACTCAGTTTACCCACTTGTAGGAGAAGATGGAGAAGCAGCCACTCTTTGGAATCCATTGAGACCCTGACCCTAGGGAGGAAAAAGAATGGGGTCAGGGACTCCTCATTTTCCTTCTGTGTCTATTTCTGCCTGGCTCATACTTTTATTCAGCTGGGCCAGGGAGAGTCATGGAGACCATCGATTCTTCCTTTGTGGAGAGGAGCAGTGGTGGTAATATGTTTTACTGAGCCCAGAGACTTTCTGCTCCCTGGGTTCAGTGAAACATGTGGATGAATAGTCTGGCAAGGGGCTGGAGCAAGGAGGGGCATGGCCTGAGATCTTTCATGTGAACACTGAGTGGTCCAGGCCCAGGGGACTGTTGGGTGTGCCCCCTCACCATCTTTGGCATCATTTGTTAAGCAGGAATGCTTCACTTCCTTTTTGAGGTTTTTCAAACTTGTAATTGCAGCTGAGCTTATTTCCCAGGAGTTTTTCACTACCTTTACTTTTCTATAAAGGTCAAAAGGAAAAAAAAATAGAAGAGTGCTAATTCTCCCTGGTGTACTATCTGCCAGCATGTAGGAACAGGGCCTCCTTTTTTCATCCTTTTCCCAGTGATCAGCCAGGTTTGCCTCCTCCTTGGGTTTTATTTGTGGTTCTCTTTCAGATTTCCCTCCCTCCCCAAGCTCTACGGCTGAAGAGAGGGGAGGGAAGCAGACTGGTCCCAGAGGGAAGCAGCTGAAGGAGAGAGACTTGGATGTACTCTGGGGTGGGTGGGAGTGGATTTGTGAAAGCTCAAGGGGTGTGGGGGTGGGAAGGACACCCAGCTTTTTTGTAGGTCCTAAGTTCTTCATGTATGTACACCTGCATTTTCCATGCTGAGTGTGTAAGTGTGTATTTCTTGCTCTGGAATCAGAGGACCTTGGCTCAAATCCTGTCCCAAACTCTCAGCCTGTGTGACCCTGAGTAAGTCATGTAACTTCCCAGGGCCACAATTTCCTCATCTATAAATGAGTTGATAGGACTAAATGGCCTCTGTGGTCTCTTTTAGCTGGACAGTCTACCTCCAGGCAGGTCTCAGATCATCATAAATTTCCCCAGTACTTCACTAACAGTTTTCTGTTCATTCCTTGATTCTCCTGACCTCTTCATCAGGAAAAATTAAAAATCACCTTTAATTCATCACGAAGGAGTCCCCAAGCATTGAGCTATCTCTGGTATTAGAGAGATAAATGAAACGTGTCCTTTTTGACCTTTTCGTCTTTCTGCCTAGAGGCAGTAGGTGGCATAGTGGATAGAGCAGTAGATCTGGAGTTGGGAAATCTGAGTTCAAATCTAGCCTCAGACACTAGCTGTGTGACTCTGGGCAAGCCATTTGACCTCTGTTTCAGTTTCTTCAACTTTAAAATGGGGTAATAATAGTACCTACTTCCCAGAGTTGTTGTGAGGATGAGATATTATTTTGTCTGCCTGATTTCCTCAGCTGTAAAATAAGAATAATAATAGCACCTAACATGAAGGTTGTTGTGAGGATTAAATGGGATATTTGTAAAGCTCTTAGCACAGTCCCTGGCACATAGTAGGCACTTGATAGATGCTTGTTTCCTTCCTTTTGTCCTTTGGAACCTCCTGCCTCCCATCTGATCAGTTCCCAGGTTCTGCCCCTGCTTTCTCAGTGTCACTTCCATTCCCTTTATGGCATTGCCGCTGCTACCACTCTTGCTCAGGCCCTCATTTCTTCTTTCCTGGACGATCTAATAGTCTTCTATCTGACCAATCAATCAGCAATGAGCAGGTATTGATGGAACACTTGCTAAATGCCAGGTATGATGTTGGGACTTGGGGTAACAAATATAGAGAATGAAACAGTCTCTATTCCCAAGGAGATTACATTTTATTGAGGGAGACAACGTAGATGTCTACACAGAATAAATGATAATATCTAGCATTTACATGGGATATTAAGGCTTTCAAACCTACTTTACAGGTTGTCTTTTTTGATCTGAACAGCAACACTGTGAAGTTGATGTTATTGTTATCATCCCCATTTTTGCTGATGAAGAAACTGAGGCAGACAGCTGAAGTGACCCTCCTAAGAGAATCACCTTGTGAAGAATGGATTGGAATGGGGAAAGAGTTGAGGCAAGGAGACCAATTAGGAGGATATAACAATAGTCTAGGTCAAAGATGATGAGTACCTGAATTATGGTGGTGATCACAGGACTAGAGAGAATGGGCTGGATTCAGGAATTGATGTGTTGGTAGAAATGGCAAGACTTGGCTATGTGGGCTGGGGGAAAATGAAGAGTTGAGGAAAAAGCCAAGTTTATAAACCCGGAAAATGGGAAGAATTTCTGCCTTCTGCAGAAGTAGGGAAGTTTGGAAGAGGACCATTTCCCATATCCTAACCCTGACTCCATCCTCTACTACTATCCAGTTAAATCTTCCTCAGATACAGCTTTGGCCATTTACTTCTATGCCCATCGACTTCATACATGGTTATCACAAAACTGGACTGTTTGTTGTTCCCCTAACACGCCCCATGTCTGTGGCTTTGTTTGGTGTTTCCTTGATCTGAAGTGCATTCCCCCAATCTCTTCCTATTGAAATCTTACCCATTCTTTAAGGCCCAACTCAGATGCCATGTCCATAAAGCCTTCTTCACTTCTGCTCCACCCTCCCATCATCATCCCGCCTCCAGTGGCAGAAGCCTTGGATGTGTAGTCAGAGAACCTCACTTCAGATATCAGCTCTTTAGTCACGTGACTAGACTTCCCAGAGTTTCGGTCTCCTTTTCTATAAAAATAAGAAACTGGACTAGGTCCCTTCGTGTTCTGAATGGTTGTGCTTGTATAACTGCTCTGCCTACTCTGAGCTCCCCTCGAACTTTGTACCTCTCTCTTATTTGCTTTAACAAGTTTTATCTCCCCTACTGGACTTAAAAGTCCTCATGGACAGTGATTATTTTATCCATTTTTGTCTCCCCCGCAGAACCTTGTATTTAGTAGGCACTTAATAACTATCCATTGACCAGATTTATAAAGTAATGAAGAAAACATGACGGGAAGGGGTAAAGATGAACTTTTCCATCTGGTGTCCAGAAGGAAGCAAGCAGATAGTTGCCTACTTATTTAGCCAAGCTGAGAAGGTATATTGACACTTTTGCTGTGATAGAGGCAAACTGGCTACTTAAAAGCCTATTTTTTTTCCCCAGCAGTGGGTGGCAGGGTCAGACCCAGAAGCATGGCTTGAAATAAGTATTTTCTGAGTGGCTTTTGATTCGAGGAAAGGAGTCAAGGAAAATGTGTAACTTAGCCCTGCGAAAATAATAAACTTGGGCTAAATCCCAGCTTAACTAATTCAGTCTAAGGAGAGTAGGTCCTTCAGTTTGTACCTAGGTATTTGTAGTTTTGTTTAACTTGTGTGGCCTACTGTATTGCTATGTTTGGTAACTTTAATGGATCCTCTACAAACCCAAGTCTCAACCCTTCCATGCCTCATCATCCAGCTTTAGTTTCATGCCTAGCAAGCAAAATGAATCATTCAGTTGTTTCACTTTTACAGAGAAAGTACAGTTGAGAGTGGAAGCATGTATCATTCCTTCTTCTCATGTTTAACAAATACTTATCCATTAGGCCTATAGATTTTTAACAGCACAATTGAGTATAGGTATGCTGTTTAGTTAGGAAATAATTCTCCATGGGACTGACCTTGTACTTTTAAGCACATTAACTTACAGCAAATATTACAGTCCCAGTAGCTGGATGTTTATCTATTTGTATTGTGAAATTCACTCTGTTGTAAGGAATTGTGTACTTACACTGACTCTGTATGCTGAATTTACAGTGTTCAAGGTGAACAAAAGGGTACCACTGAAGAAGAGGAAAAACAGGACAAAGGTTGTGCAAATCTAGGGGCACGTGACCTTTAATGAAGAAATCTTGTTCTATTTCTGTTCTCAGTAGGTGACTGTGGAAGGTTAACCCAAGAGCCACAAAAAGACAAGGAACCTTGCTTGGGGAGTCTTTCAGATTGGAGCGTCTCTGTTGGGTACAATACTCCATTTCATCACAAGGAGAGAAAAGGTTGCTTATACTTAGAAAATAATTTAGAATTTGAGGTTCTTTGATGTTATGTTTAGCTGTTTTAATAAAGAATTTTTTATTTTAAAATGGATAAAAATAGGAAGTTAATCTCTCAATTAACCATGCCCATCACCAAAGCCTGGTTGTTTCCACCGTGTGGCCAAAAGCAAGACCACTGAAATCTTGAAACTTATCCTAATTGCCAATGAAGTGCTCTTGGGCAGTGGGAGAGCAGATCAATAGCCTTTTGTGGATCAAACTTGCAGGTTTAAAAATAAAGTGGCAATAGTGCACTCTTATAGGTTCAACCTGAAATGGGCTCCCCTTCTTGGGAATGCTTACTGTTTGCACCATGCCAGACTTCTGTTGTTATTGTTGTTGTTAAGTAGTTTTTCTGTTGTGTCCAACTCTTCGTGACTGTTTGGGGTTTTCTTGGCAGAGATACTTGAAGGGTTTGCCATTTCCTTCTCCAGCTCATTTTATAGATGAGGAAACTCAGGCAAATAGGATTAAGTGGCTTGCCCAGGGTTACACAGCTAGTAAGTGTCTGGAACCAGAATTGAACTCTGGAAGATGAGTCTTCTTGACTCCAAGGCCAGCACTCTATCCACTGGGCCATCTAGCTGCCTACCATGTCAAGACTAACAGGAGACAAAGCAAATAGAAACTTTGACCAGCAACCTTATTTTCATTGTGCAACTGACCACATATAAAATAAAATAAAATAAAATAATCTGATTAAAGAGAGCATCAATCCACAGCTTTATCAGATAAAGATTATTTATTGGTGTAGGGAAATGCTGGTTTGGCACTCCCTCTACCAATGCAGATGCCCAGCTCTTGTGTAATTGGTAGCTTTAGAAAGTTGCCTGTGGCACTGAGATTAACTGACTTGATCTGATTCACACAGCAATTATGTGTCAGAGATGTCAGATCTGAATGGGAGGGTGACTCTATCCACTGTGCCCCACAGTTTTAGTAAAACAAAAAATTTTGGTCACTTCAAGAAGTAGGGGACCGTTTAGAGGAAGCAGCACTCAGATCTTTTTCTCTGTATTAGAGCTGTTCGGAGATTTGAAGCACAGAGATTTGCATGCTCCTACACACTTGTGCCTTATCCCAGAGCTAACGCAATTATGCTTTCTCTTGGTGTGGAGATGAACCTAGGTTCCCAAAGTCCATGCCTGCAGAATACAAGCTCTGGCAAGTTCTACCATGCTGAAAAGGTTTTTGCTGCCCAACCCAGCTGAGTCTGGAGAAGCTCCAGTAAGTTGACCACTAGGTGATGAATTCTTTGGGCATAGTAACCTAATTAACGATGAAAAATGGCCCTCAGTCCTGTGCATCTCCCTTCTACACTCATGATGACAGTAGTGGAATGGCAGAGAAGGGAGCAGAGGATGCTGGGAAGCATACAATGTTTCAATGACCAATGAATTGATATACCATTGGAAGAAATGAACTGTGTCAATATTGCCTTTCTTCTGATTAAGCAATAAGAAAAAGGAAGTTACAGCTAAATGGAAGGATGGCTTAGAGGTTCTACTTGGAGAGGCAAAGGAATTATCTGAATTGGTTTTATCCTATAGCCAAAGGCAATAATAATAAATGTCATTTTAATGGGATCCTGGGTCATCTCATCTTGAAGTGCTCATAATGAGCATCAGCTAAAAGAACATTGTAAAGATATTTGCAACTAATACACCAATATCTACTGGAGAGGATGAAAAAGTAGACCAATTTCATAAAGAACTTTACAAGATCCTCTAAACCAAGTCATCCCATACTTTGATACTTGGTGTTTTCAGTACAGGGGTGATCACAAGAGAGGATGGCAAAAAGTATGTCAGAATATATGGTTCAGGTTTAGCAAATTAGGTCAAAAGTTTTTAGACTCCTCAAAAGCCTTTATGTCATGAATACTTTCCTCAAGAAGAGTCAGGAGATATTGGACATGATGAGCACCAAAACAACACTTTTATGGAGCCTATCCAGAAAAGGGGACCATTATGATTAGAAAACTGGAAAATACACCATAGAAGAATCAGCTGAAGGAACTGAGAGTGTTTGGCCTGGAGAAGATAGGATTTAGAAGGGGAAATGATGGCTGTTTTCAGGTCATGGAAAGACTAGTGTGGAACAGGATTGTTCTGTTTGGCATGAGAAATAAGAACTAGGAGTCATGGTTGGCAATTACAGAAGGGTAGAGTTGACCTTGATATAAAGGAAAACTTTACAGGATTTTAAAAAAATGATTAGAAAATATATCTGACAATTAGAGTGGGGTATGTTGACTTGGAAGGAGATGAGTTTCCATCTTGCTTAAGACTCTCAAGCAAAGGCTGGATGACCACTTGTTAGGGACATTGTAGAAGGAATTCTTGGGTACAGATTGAACTAGAAGGACCTTTCAGCTGAAGAGCTGAAATATAATTCCAGACAAGTCACAGAAAATAGAATTAATTGGTTTCTGTTTCTTAAGCAATAGTCACTTAATAATAACAATAACAACTAGCATTTATATAGTGCCTGCTATGTGCCAGGCACCATGCTAAGCACTTTGTAAATATTCTCTCATTTAATCCTCACAACAGCCTTGGGAGATAGGTGCTATTATGATCTCCATTTTATAGTTAGGAAACTGAGGCAAAGAGAGGCTACTTGTTCAAGGTCACATAGCTAATTAAGTGTCTGAACTCAGGTCTTCCTGACTCCAGACCTAGCACTTTATCCACTGTGCCATCTAGTCATTGGTATGGTAGTTATTTCAGAATCAGCTGAATGTGTAATTAGATCATTAACCAATTAGAACAAGAACCCCAAATCAGATGATACATTGCAGCAGTTTTGACCCAACCTATTCAAACTATGCAAAAAAGGGGAAATAGGAGAAGACAAAGATTAACCTTGACTTTCACTATTTTCTGCAAAAGTTTAATCTCTGTAAAGCAGCCACTGCAGTGAGGAAGCAAAGTTGCCTTAGCTAGCAAGCCCTTTATTTCCTTGCCAAGTGGAGAGAGACAGCAATCAAGGTTAATACCAGTTAAGAATACAAATTCATTTGTAAAACACTGTAGGAGGAGCAGGAGGAGGCAGAAGATTATAAGCAGTATTACATCTTAAAACAGCACAAAGCTGTTGAGGTGAAAACAAGCCAATAGCTTGGTGTGAGACCCTACTAAGCTGTATCTCAAGAGCATAGGTGAAGCAGGCAGGATGGTAGAAAATAAAACAGATTTATCAGCATTTCAGTAATTCTCTCCAAACCAAGATGAAATCCACCAGTGCAGCTGGGCCAGACCAAGTTCACACTAAGGATAACCAGGCCAGAGGTAAGACAATCTTGAAAATATTAAAGAACATCCCTCAAGGCATAAGAAACATAGAAGGAACTGGGAAAATCACGATGTTAATCTCTATAAAGAATGATAGCTAGGACATCAGTAACTGCTTGCCCATGTGCCTCCTTTCTCATCTTTATAAAATCGTTATAAAAATGATCTACGCACAAATTGAGGAATAGCTTCAGTGAAATATGAGATGGGAGTAGGTATGTTTTCACAAACAATTTTCTGTAGTAGATCATATCTTTACAATCACACAACTAACTGAAAGTTTCAGAAATAACAAAATCCCACTGTTTGATTACAAAAACAAAACAAAACCCATTTGATTTGGTATAGCAAAGCATAGCCTTCAAGACTGTTCCTCCAATAAGGAGTCTCTCAAGCACATGTTAATACAAAATTCCTTAATAAATGCATCCACAAAGACGGTGACCCTCTGATTATCAACATGAAATGAGACATAAAACAGGGAGAACTAAGCTCACCAAAGATGTTCATTACTGTCATGCAGAATGTCCTGCACAAGGTCCAAATATGAGAGGGGTTCCCAAGGAAGGAAACAAGCATTTAGTAAGCACCTGCTATGTACCAGGCACTGTGCCAAGTGCCTCACAGAGATCTCATTTGAGACCCCGTGACAACCATGGGAGATAGGTGCAATTATCCCTGTTTTACAGTTGAGAAAACTGAGGCAAATACAAGTTAAGTGACTTGCTTAGGGTGGTAGTAAGCGTCTGAGGCTGGATTAATGAGGTCGTCCATGTGTTCCTGTGTGCAGATAACATTGTGCCATTTGTATTGAGCATTCAGCTGTCTTCCATGAGATGACAGGATCACTGATTTAGAGTTGGGGGATACTTTAAAGATCATCCGGGGTGGGAAACCTGAGGCCTTGAGGCCACATGTGAACTTCTAGGCCCTTGGGTGTAGCCTTTTGACTGAATCCAAGTTTTACAAAACAAATCCTTTTATGAGAAGTTTGGATTCAGTCAAAGGGCCACCCTTGAGGACCTGGAGGGCCACACATGGCCTTGAGGCCAAGGTTCCCCACCCTTGATCTAGCCCGACTCTCTCATGTTCCATGACTACTCAAAAGAAACCAACCTTAGAGTCAAAACCAAAGGGATTATTCATTCTAGGACATGCAGTGGGAAGGCCAGGCCATGGAGTTCAGTACAGACATCTGGGACAGACACTGTGCAAGTCAAGTCAAGTAGCATTTATTAAGTGCCTATTATGTACCTGGCTCTGTGCTAAGCTCTGAGGATACAGAGAAAGGCAAAGACAGTTCTTGTTTTCAAGGGGCTCAATCACAATCTTAATGCAAACAACTGTGTACAAACAAGATGTGTGTGTACACATACATATATCTACACATATACATTCACATATATACATATACACATACATCTATTATGTATACATGCATATACACACATACATACATACACATACATATGAAATATTAGAGGTACTATCAGAAAGAAGGCATTAACCTTAAGGAGGGCCAAGAAAGGGTTCTTACAGAAGGTAGGATTTTAGCTGAGACTTGAAGCCATGGGAGCCAAGCAGTAGAAGAAAGAACATTCTAGGCATTTTCATTCCAGCCAATGAAAATGCAGAGTCAGGCAATGAATTGCCTTGTGCAAGCCTTGGGAAAAGAAGTTTAATGTCAATAGAGAGGAGTCAAGTATAAGAAGACTGTAAAGGTAGGAAAGTGTCAGGTTATGAAGGACAGCCAAACAGAGGATTTTATATTTGATCCTGAAAGCAATAAGGAGCCCCTAGAGTTCTTCTTGATGATGAAAAGAGTTTACCACAAATATTATTGTTTGTCTTTACATTTTTTTCATCCATTTGCTGTCCTTCTAGTTACATCCTTAAATGTTCTTGGGTTAACTTTGGCAAAGGAGAGCAACAGCTTGTTGGCCAAGGCAGTTTCTGGGGTGATGTGGTCAGACTTGCACTTTAGGAAGATCACATTGATAGCTTTGTGGAAGATAGATGAATGGGGATAGACTTGAGACAGGGAGTTCAAAAGGCTGTTGAAATAGTCCACTGATGAGGTGATGAGAGCCTGCACTGGGGCCTTGGCAGTACAAGAGGAGAGGAGCAGGACAGAGTGGAAGCCAGGTGGGGAGAGGGGGTTTGTGAGATGTTGTGAAGGTAGAATTAACAGGACTTGACAACAGATTGGATATAGAGGATTAGAATGAGGAGTTGAAGAAGACACACCAGGTTGTGATTCTGAGTGACTGGAAGGAAAGTGGTGTTCTTGATAGTATTAGGAAGGTTAGGGAGAGGGTAGACTTTGGAGGGAAAGGCAATGAGTTCAATTTTGGACTTGTTGAGTTTAGGATATTTATGAGACATCCAGTTCAAGATGTTCAATAAGCATTTGGAGATGGCAAGACAGAAGAGGGGGCTGGGTCTGAGATTCATCTGCATAGAGATGATAAGTAAATCCATTGAGAGCTGATGAGATCACCAAGGGAAATAGTGTAGAGGGAGAGGGCCCAAGACTGAGCTTTGGAAAATAACAGATTTAGGCTAAATCCTAATTCAGCCAATTAAGTCTAAGTCGAGAAGGTCCTTTAATTTGTACCTAACCTTGGGGGACACCCATGCTTAGCAGGCATGACTGAAAGAAAATCCAGTAAAGGAGGCTAAGGACAAATAGGAGGAGAATCAGGATAGAGTAGTGTCACAAAAACCTAAAGGGAAGAAGGTGATTAAGTGTCAAAGGCTGCAGAGAAGTCCAGAAGGAAGAGACCGTTGCTGACTTTACTGAGAACTGTTTCAGTTGAATGAATGATTTAGTCAGAAGTCAGACTGCTGAGAGTTAAAAAGAGAGTGAGAAGAAAGGAAGTGGAGACACACTGCACTGGAGAAGGCCCTCTCAAGGAGTTTAGCCACGAAAGGGAGGAGAGATATAGGGCTACATCTATCAGGGAAGGGTGGATCAGGTGAGAGTTTTTTGAGGATAAAGGAGATATATGTAGGCAGTAGGGAAACAGCTGGCAGACAGGAAGAGATTGAAGATAAGTGAGAGTAGGGTCTGCAAAAGGGAGCTACCTACTGGAGAAAATGTTATGGAATGGGATCATCAATGGATATAGAGGGGTTTGGCTTTACAAGGAGAAGGGACACCTCTTCATGTGAGACAGGGTAGGAGGCATCTGAGTGATGTGAGCTAAGGAGGGGAAGAAAAGGGAACTCTCAGCAAATGACCTTTTTTCAGTGAAATATGAGACAAGTTTTCAGCTGATAGGGCAGAGGAAGGAGGATTCATGGGAGGCTTAAGGAGGGATGGAAACATTTTGGAAAACTACTGTGGTGAGTGAGATAATGAATTGAGTAGGGATATGTAGGATTGCAGTGAACACTCAGTTGAGATTATGTAACATAAATTTGTAGTGGACCCAGGCAGCACAATTTCATGATTTTCTCCAGCTTCATTCAGCAGTAAGTGAGGAGGGAAGCCCGAAGATGGTGGGAGTAATAGGGCTTGACAGGACAGGATTGGTGACAGGCTAAGGGGGCAAGGGCCTCCCTCCAGAGAAGAGAATGATTAATTGAGTACAGAATTGAGTAGGAAGAAGGCAAGCAGGCTAGCTTGCATTTTGAAATTGTTCAGTGCTTTTAACAATTCTCAGCTAGTCCTTAATATTTTTAGACTTTTTTTTTAATGCAAATGTTCTATCATGTTGTATGGTTAGGAATCTTAGAACTCAATTTTGATTCTGAAGAGTCAAAGTTGTAAGTGAATTTCACTTGCAAAATAGGTGGTTGGGACAGCTAGGTGGCACAGTGGATACAGCACTGGCTCTGGAGTCAGGAGGACCTGAGTTCAAATCTGGCCTCAGACCAAACAAACACTTGACACTAGCTGTGTGACCCTGGGCAAGTCACTTAACCCCAACTGCCTTAAAAAAAAAGATGGTAAGAAGCCTACCTATTCCCTTCTCATACTTTCCCCAAGGATGTCCTTAATGTTTTCACCAAATTTCATAGAGATAAGAAAGTAAACATGGGAGTCTGTAGTTATTGCTCTTCTCTTGATTGACTGTTTCTCCACATCTTGGGTGTATTCTCCTCTTTCGTAGACCTTGAGGTCTGATCCCTTATTTACGTTCCCTTAAACATGGACCTTCTCTGTATATCTTTGATCATGCCTAGCAGTCCTTCCTATTTTTGTTTTCTGCACTGTTTCCATTTTCTCAGATAGCACATTATGTATTGTGATGATAGAGTTCATATATCATGGCTCCATTCTTCTTGATGATGAAAAGAGTTTACCATAAATATTATTGTTTGTCTTTACATTTTTTTCATCCATTTGCTGTCCTTCTAGTTACATCCTTAAATGTTCTTGGGTTAACTTTGGCAAAGGAGAGCAACAGCTTGTTGGCCAAGGCAGTTTCTGGGCTTTTTTTTTATGATCTCATAATAGCAGTTGATTTACATTGCTGAAACTTTTTTATAAAATAGTTCTAATCTGTGCCCTTGTCTTTTCCTTTCTCCATCTTTTTTTTTTTGATCTTATGGTTCCATTTATAGAAAGAATGTTAAGATCAATGTGATTCAGTTCCTCCTGTAGCATGTCTTGTGATCATTGGACCAGGATTTCACATAGAGAGGCTCAGTTAATGTTTAATGGTGGTCTAAAAACCATGATACATAGTACCCTTAGTTCTTTTTTTCCTTCAGTTGGACTCTGTCACTGTAGAATCAGGAGAGAGGCCCACAGGACTAAGGGGCATTTGGTATTCATTACCAAATGACTAGCCTGCTAGTGATGAGACCTCATACTCAGGCTAGTCCTTGGAAAGTAGACACAGTATGCCTAAACCATACTCGAAATCTCTCCATCCTGGTAAACCTGCCAGAGCTTGTGTTTTGCAGGCATCAACTTGAGAATCCAAGGTACCACCCTCTTACCACGATAAGGCACTGGAGCAAATCTCTGTATAGATGTTGTAGGTGCTTATTTAAATATTGGTTTAAATGAACATAATTCTTTATTGCTTCTTTGGGGACCATGGGATCAGGCTTAAAGTTCCAAAGTGTGGGAGTGGAGACTACCAGATGCTAGGTGCTGACTTTATTTTGATTTCTCTTGTGCCTGAATCAAATGAACTCTTTTGGGTTAAAAAATTTCAACCTTGTTGCTGCTGCTCCTCAAGTAGCTTTGTTAACTAGGAAGACCCCCAAACAAGTGGATGACCTGAAGACCCTTTATGTTCTTTCCCTAGGCAGTGTGGTTATAGCGAGTAGAGCCTCTCCTACTTTTCCATCCTCACTGGGAATATTAGTAGCCCTTTTCCATGGTCAAAACATCTTTACTTATGTCTGTATGCAGCCAGTTAAATAATTTGTCATTTGTTAATGGGCTCCTGAGACAGGAGGAACAGGAATGGACCTGGTCTCTAATGTCCTCCCCTTCTCCTCCTCTAGCTCTCTCTATCACACGTGTTCCAGCCTTTTCTGAGGACAGTACTGAAGACCAGGTTATGGAGGATGCACTCCTTATGGCCAGGGTGCAGGTGAGTTTGGGGTCCTTCTGTCCCATTAGTGTTGCTGTTGTTTACATGTGGCTTACCCATTATCTTCTCTGATAAAGATACATTTTTCAAGACCTTTAGATTTCTATTCTAGGGGAATGAGTATTTTTTTTTTGGTGAGGCAGTCGAGGTTAAGTGACTTGCCTCGGGTCACACAGTAAGTGTCAAGTGTCCAAGGCTGGATTTGAACTTAGGTCCTCCTGACTCCAGAGTCTGTCCACTGTGCCACCTAGCTGCCCTGGAATGAGTATTTTTCCCAGGCTGCTATTCTGTTTCCTAGGCCTCTCCCTTGCCATTATTGCAATTCCATTACACCAGAATATCTGACTTTGGAGGCAGAGGAGCTTTACTTGAATATTGTTTGCAAGCTTTGATATCTTTGCAGGTTGTTTGTCCTTGAGGCAGCAGATAATAGTGAAGGGTGTTCTTGTTTCAGGGACCAGGGACATTTAAGGATGGGGAAGTTTCTCCCTCCCAAGAGGAGCAAAAAGATCTAGATGTTGTTCCGAAGGACCTCTGTGGTGGTGTGATGAAGGAGAATTATGGGAATGACATGTCACATGGTAAAGATTTATTTTCTCTGAAAATATTAATATTTTCCTTTTTTCAAAATTGTGTCCACGTATGAAATTTGAATCCCTCGATGGAGTAAAAAATGACAGCTAACATGTTCAGAAATAGCAATATTTAAAATAAGTATGCACTGCATATGCATGTTGCTGATAACCAACTCTAGCTGTTGAGTCCTGCCAGGGAAGAAAAGTTACCACATTCTTGAATCAGAATTTGTTTATATTCCTGTTATCGTTTCATTTTGTTAATCTGGGTAAGACCTTATATTCACTGAAGGTGTAAGCTGTAACTGGATCCCTACTGTGCCTTACTATAAGACATGTCAAATTTTAATATGTGGGAATCAAACACCTTTCCATTTATTTATGGACACCAGTGGAATTTAACCACAGCAAAACATCTTACCTAAAATTAGCAAACAATGAGTCTTGATATTAGAAGTCTATCATTGGGGCTTTAATAATTTCCCTAATTGCTTTTCTTACCTAAGAATAGGTACTGCTTATTCAGGAAGTTTAATTTTACAGAGCTCTTGACCTTAATCAGACCATCCTCTTTCTGATCATTAAAAATATTCATCAAGAGACATTTTGTACTATGTACTCTGCAAACCAATATAACTAACTTTCCTAGTCACTAATATAGACGTAAGTGATAAGACAACTCAGCAGACAATTGAACACAATGTAAATATTATGTGTAAGTAAAGGGTTAAGTGCAATTCTGGTAAGTAGAAAAGGGTTCTTGAAATGACATACTTAGAGTAGATTCCCTATCAGAGCAAAGGGTGAAAATCATGGAGTCAAAGATTTAACACTGGAAGGAACCTTTAAAGTCATCTAATCCAGCCCCCTCAACTGAGCTTTACATTGAAACCAAATGCCTTATAGGGTTCAAACCCACATCCCCTGACTCTTTTTCTGCTATGCCAGCATCTTGGTTCTCCTTTGGGAGGATGGAAAGAAAAACTACTGATAAGAAAATAGGTTAACAACAGTAATAGAGCTAAGTAGCTCTAATTAAATCAAAGGAGCTAGAACTAGGCAAGGTATTTAGCCACCTACAACACAACACAGAAGGTACACATTTGATTTTTTAAAAAGATTATTTTTACAATGCCCATATTTTTAATGGCCAATCATTATACCTGTCATGGTATAATCATCTTATTTTATCATGTCAAGTTGAGACAGAGGACCTGGTTGCAGATCCCAGCTCTGCTACCCAGCTCTGTGTGAAGTTGGGCACACTCCTTCCTCTTGGTAGCCCTTAGTTTTCTAATTTGAAACAATAAGGTGGGACTAGACAGCCAACCAAATTCCTTTTAGCTCTTCATCTATGGTCCTATGATGTGTTAGTGAAGGCTCAAAGACTGAAGTAGATAGAAATTTTCAGAGGGCACCATTTCCAAATTTTATGTATGGCATACAAAAGTCTCTTCCCTGTTCTTGGCTCCGAGAGGGTGGGTTTGAGGGCAATGCTATGTGTCAATCAGTCAATGAGTATCAAGCACTTGTTCTGCATGTCTATATTTATCTTTGCTGCCTTTGTAGCTATAAATGATGTGGAATGCACACAAAGAAACTAAAGAGATCATCTAAGGTAGACTGGGATTTAAAACACGGATAAAAAGTTGCCCAGAAAATTTCTTAGTAAGCAATTTTTTATGAAATGTAATTTTTGTAAGGAGATAGATAAGTTTCTTAGTAACCATTTTTTTTATGAAATGTAACTTTTGTAAGGAGATAGATAAGTTTCCTTCCTTCCTAATGTCCCATCCTTTGAGTACAGGAGGCTAATTGCTTTGGTCACTGTGGAAGATGGCAAAAGGGGGAAAAAACCCCAAAACCAAATCACTGTATTGGTAAGATCCGCATTTTCCTACAGAGCCACAGGGGTAAGCAGACCTAGAAGAAGGTAGTGAGGGCTTAAGGATGGTTGAGAAGAGGCAGTAAACACAGGGGAAAGAGATTTTACCCTCCAGAGGAAATGGATGGTGCTCTGCCAGGGAAGACTTGAGCAACATTGAGATGCATATTTAATGAAAACCAAAAAAAAAGTTATAGATGCTTGTCTTGGTTTCTGCAGGTGCGAGATATTAGTTTGAAGTCTGGAGGTGTTAAATTCCTAAGTTGACATTTTTATATTTTAACTTTCATTTTTTAGATTAAAACAGGGTTAGAGTTGAAATTTAGCTTTATTAAGAACGTTTTGTACTATTTGCTACTCAGAGAAGACAATATTCCTTAAAAACAAAACTGATGGAGAAAAAATATGAAATAATTTAATGAGAAGATGACTCAGACAACATCTCATCATGCAGCAGAGAGGTTTGTAGCTCTTGGGGAACTAGACTTAAGGCCAGCTTCATCAGGAACCAGTAGAAAGGGAGTGTCAGCTACTGACAGCTGTTGTGTTGTGTTTTGTTTAACGCAGAGAACAGCATTTTAGTATGACTCCCACGTTTGGCTCCTAGTCTTCATTGTGCCTTAGAGCTAATGTTCCTTAGATTCAGCTCTTTGTATCAACTTTTGAAGACTGCTGATTAAATACAATAGATTACTACACAGGGCCACAGGTTATTTTGTGCTCCCTCTTTTTGTTCTGGGTAGTGCATTTATTAGAGTTGAATGAATGACAGCCTACCCTCTTTGACTCCAAGTGGCACAGAAACAGGAGCATGTTCTGGCCTGAATTATCACAAGGTGTCATTTCACCTCTGAGATCTCCAATCCAGTACTTCTCTCACCATGTTCTTGTCTGTGGAGCAGTCTCCTCTTAACTACACTAGACTTCTCTGCCCCAAATCCATTTCACTGTTAGCTATTTGAGTGCTGCCCTCTCTAGGATTAAACTTTCCCCCTCTGACTTTACACAGACCCTGCCTAATTCCCAGCATGGCATCACCTCAGCTTTCTCTTTTCCTTCTCCCAGGCCTGCAGTACTACTGAAGAAATTTGTGTAATTATAAAACTAGACCACCACAAATTTAACTTGGTCCCTTCCTAGTTGTTTAATAGTCTGTTTGACCTTCGTCTTCTCCTTAGCACATGCTCCTATTACCGTAGCTGATGACCTAGCCCCTTATTTCCTAACATACCTATCTCTCCATCTGCTCTCTCTTTCTTACCTTCATTTCTTATCATGGACTTAGATAGCATATATATTAAAAAGAACCTAATTATTTACCTCACTCCAAATTCTCTTCCAACCCTTAACAATATACATATGTACTTCCTTCCATAATTGTGTAATTAGTAATCTGTCCATACAGTTTTGTAGTACTATTTCCTACATATATACCTGATCCACATGCCATTTTAATAGCCATTTTTTTATTTTCGTAATTTTTGAATTGTTCCCTGCATTTCCCAGAAGACCCCTTCTTCTGCCCTTCTAAAGCCAAGTCCTTCACCTGTGCTTAGAATTCTGTCCCTTCCTCTCCCACTTTTTCCCTCCTTTTAGGGTCTTCAATTGTAGAGGCAGACCTTTCAAGAAGAACCTATCATCTCACTTCTCCCCTTTTGCTACCAAACTCTTCCAAGGAGTAGTCTCCATCTATTATTTTAATTTCTTCATTAACCTGCTGTAATCTTGCATCTGGCTTCACGACAGTAATGAAATAGTGTTTTTTTTTCTCTGATCCCAAGATCTCCTATTTAGATTCACAAGTCCTTTCTCATTCTCACTCTTCTTGACCTCACAGCTACATCGCACTGGACCATATTCATTTTTTTAAAAATTTCTGCTTGTTTCCTTCTCTGCCAGTAAGTATTTAATCTTTTCTTGATTCCTGACAACATAGTTCATCTTTCAAAGACTGATTCAAAAAGCAACAGTTACTCTAGGCTTGTCATCTGAAGCAGCAAACTTGTATAAAGTTTTTCACAAAAACGTAATTTGGAAATACTCAAATTCCTGTTTTTAAAAAGTCAGACATTATTGTCCCTTCTCAGTTTTTACCATTTTAGGAGAAAGAAATTGTATATTTGAGAAACAGCTCAGTTTTGTTTACAGTAAGTAGCTTCCTAGAGAATTGAGAAAAACCTGGTTCAAGAAACTGCTTTGTGATTATTTTTGTTGTTTCTCATTCTCTCTGTAATTTTCTTTCAGATCACTTCATTTTCCAAATATTATTTTAGCAAGTGGCAGACAAAACTTTTGTAGAAACTAGGAAATGTCTCTTGGATGTCTTCAAATTTTTGAATTTGGCTGAAAATGGCTGGAATAATGTTACTAAACATGTAATTATAGACATTTCTCTTAGAAATAATAAGTTTCCCTCTAATAAAACTTTAGACAAAATTAACCTTATTTACAATAGTTCAGAAGCCTAGAGGCTCTGAAGGGACTTCAGAGGCCCTCTGGCCCAGCCTATACCTGAACAAGACCATCCTGTGTAAGATACACAACTGATTAGGCAAAGGCTGGATGGCCAGTTGTAGATGTTGCAGAGGGGACTCCACTGCTTGATTACCTTCTATGATTACTTCTCTCCTTATTCTCCTATTCTGACTCTGCTTAATTCTTTTGTCTTATACCTGTGGGTGTCCACCATCTTTCAGTCCTTAGTTTTTCTGTTCTCTTAATCCCTTAGGGAACTCAGCAAGTGTTATGCTTTAACTTTCAGATCTTTGTAGATAACTTACATATGTCTAGCACTGATCTCTCTATTCCAACTTCCAGTCACACTATCTTGGGATTCTTACAGGACATCTCCCTCCATATGAATGTCCCACTGTTAGCTCAGATCTAATATGTCTGGAATCAAATTCATCTCCCCTCTCCAAATCTGTCTCCCTTTCCACCTTTCCTTTCTTTATCAATGGCCACACCATTCTACCACTTATACAGGCTCAAAATGTTAGAATCATTCCTTTTTGACCATATCTAGGCACCAAAGTCGTGCTCTGAAATGTCTCTAAGATTTTTCCATTTCTTTTCTATAATCCCTGCCACCACCTTAGATTAACTGAATAACCTAACTGGTCTTCTTGGCTCCAGTCTCTGGTTACTGCTACCAAATTAGTTTACTTAAAAACTTTCAAGACATTCCTGAAGAATATTATTACCTAACAAATTAAAATTAAACTTAACTTCTCAGCCTGGAATTAAAATTATTTGTGTATTTATTCTTCCCATAGTCCCCCTACTAGATTAAAAATTCTTGAAGTATCTCATACATTCCTCTATCCCTGAAGTGCCTAATACAGTGCTCAGTAAATATTTAGTGACTTGTTGGAAGTACACAGTTTAGTCTCACCTTACCTGTTAAACTGTATTTCCTATTAGTTTCCAACATGAACCTTCTATTCCTTTTTGTTACTCTGACCCTCCCTCTCATTTGTCCTGCCAGGTTCACACAATAACATAAAGCAAACCTGAATTTATCTAAGTACTTTATTTAGCCTGCATGGTTCCAGCTAACAGATGTGGGGAATGCACTTGCTGTGCACGCATTCAAGTCCCACATCTCCTCTGGATACAGGACTATACTCATTAAGCCATATCTCACTTTCCACCCCTTCCCATGACGTTCACAGACATCACTTCTCCCTTAACATTCCCCAAACATCATTCAAGCATCAGTCCCAGATATCGGAGGTCTGTTGGGGGCGAGGGGTTCCTCTGCTGTCCTGGTAGCTGTCCTATTGCACCTTCAGATCGTTGCCTCAGTTCATTCTCTGGTTTTCTTATCCAGGCTTCTTCCTTATTACCCTGCATTCTTGGAGTCTTCCATGTGGCTCTCTTTCCCTGTTGTGTCTTCCCTTAGATGTCTTGTATATCTCATATGTCAACTTCAAGGATCAAGAACCCCCATTTATCCTTTGTGTGTCATATCCCCTTTATCCTTGACATAACATGCTTACAATAATACATTATTAACATGGAGCAAGCAAGATTATTGCACATTCCATTGAAAGGCCCTCTCTCTTACATCTTGAGCCTGGACCAACTTCATTCTCAGGCCATGTTCACCCCCATCCCTTAGCCCAACTTTATTCCCCTTAGGCACAGTAACACTATTTATCTTAATTTCCATACATTCCCCCCACTTTTATGGTGCTCTCTTCCAACTCCATTTTTCTATTCCTGCTGTCCCTGTCACTTGGAATGTCCCCTCCTGTCCCTAGTAGCCCATATGATATTTACTTCCTTCAAGGCTCAACTCAAATCGTACCTCCTTTTTTTTTTTTAAGGCAATTGGGGTTAAGTGTCTTGCCCAGGGTCACACAGCTAGTAAGTGTCAAGTGTTTGGTCTGAGGCCGTATTTGAACTCAGGTCCTCCTGACTTCAGGGCCGGGCTCTATCCACTGCGCCACCTAGCTGCCCCTTCAAATCCTACCTCTTATAAAATCTTCACTCCTGCAGCCCATGTTGAGGTCACCTTTCTTTGAATTCCCAAGACGTTTAAAAGCTGTGTCAGCATTGCACTAGATACTACAATGTCCTCTATTTAATATGATTATATGATTTTAAATGTGTGTGTATATACATATATATTTTTTTATACATACGTGTGTGTGTGTGTGTGTGTGTGTGTGTATGTGTGTGTATACGTATTTGTATGTGCATTGTTTCCTCTTTTCTCCCCAACCAGATTATAAGATATGGCAGGGACTGTATCTTCTGTGTTCTTTGTATCTCCTATAGCAGAGTTGTCCGACACTCAGTCCACAACACTCCCAAGTGTGGCTTGAGCCAGATAAAAATGTGATCAGGAAATATTTAACAAAATAAATAAGAATATAATGAAACATAGATAATATTACATTTTAAAATTAAGTCAGTATGTGATCCACAGGCAAATTTGTATATAGATTAGTGGCCCGTTTCTATTGAAGTTTGACACCACTGTCCTAAGTATTGGGCTCACAAGTACTTTATTACTTGTTGACCTTCACCATGAATCCTGAAATGATTATGTGCTTCTGACTAGTTCTGTCTAGCATTGTGTTGTAACCTAGACAGCAAAATAAGCCTCAAACTTCTGGCTTTATGAAGAGGACCATAATTGCAATTCAGGTTAAGGAACTGCCTACTCTGTTTCTTGAACCCCAGTAAATGCTGTGGTCCTCAGAGGTTTAATGTTTTCAAGGCAGTAGCCAGGGTTTTCTGCCCTTCATTTATCTCAGGGCTGCAGAAATTGAAAGAGGATTTCCCCCTACCCCTTCTTACTCTGTGGTCACGGGCGAAGACACTCCTTGAAGCTTTTTAAAGAAGAATTTTTTTTTTTAAATTTTAACCATGAACCTAGTCAGCTAAGCAAATGCTTAGAGACCTCGTGTTAATGACTTGAACATTTTATGTGCTGTTAAAGTGCCAAGTGATCTGATAGTGACCCTAGACAGATACTAAATGAAAATGTTAACTATACCTACTACTCCATTAGAGCAGAGACTGACCCTAGGATTTTATCTATGGGCCCAATGAAAGCATCATGGTGTACCCTGTTTGCTTCCTGGTGATCACATTCCCAAATTCTAAACCTGACTTCACCTTTCAACAAAAGCAAAAATTAGACCCATGTACTGACATTTCTAAGCTCTGGAAAAAAAGGAAGATTGTGAGACATTCATTCCTCCTCAGGTGAGATGGTTGTGAGAATAGTTGGGATATCAGTTTGAAGGAAGTAAAGTGGGGATTAAACCCTCTTTAACTCTCAAATCTTTTTATTATCACCAAAAACTTAACTTTAACTTTTTTTCCTACAGTTTCTTTCCTTTTTTAATGAAAGAACTTATTTATAAACATGTTTTTTTTGGTTTTCTTGGTCCTTTCAGATTTTGAGATCCAGAGTGAGAATGAAGAGAATTCAAATCAAGAAATGTTTGAAGCAGTGGAAGAAAATATGATATTATCAGGAAGGCCTGAAGGGGAAGGCATTCAGCATTCTAACTGGGGAAGTGACTTTGAGAGAGACTATGGGATAGAGAGGCCTCAGGGAAATTCCCAAGCAGAGGAATATGGGGAAACTACTTCACAGGACAGGGAAATAGGACAATTCATAGGCCTTCAGGGAACCTATTTAGGTGAGAAGCCCTATGAATGCCCTCAGTGTGGGAAAACCTTCAGCCGGAAATCACACCTTATTACACATGAGAGGACCCATACAGGAGAGAAATACTATAAATGTGATGAATGTGGAAAAAGCTTTAGTGATGGTTCAAACTTTAGTAGACACCAAACAACTCATACTGGGGAGAAACCTTATAAATGCAGAGATTGTGGGAAAAGCTTTAGCCGGAGTGCAAACCTAATAACACACCAGAGAATCCACACAGGGGAAAAACCCTTTCAGTGTGCTGAGTGTGGGAAAAGTTTCAGCAGGAGTCCCAACCTCATTGCTCATCAGCGAACCCACACAGGAGAAAAACCATATTCATGCCTGGAGTGTGGAAAGAGCTTTGGTAACCGTTCTAGCCTTAATACACACCAGGGAATTCACACTGGAGAGAAACCCTATGAATGTAAAGAGTGTGGCGAAAGCTTTAGTTACAACTCTAACTTAATTAGGCACCAGAGAATCCACACAGGAGAGAAACCATATAAATGTACTGACTGTGGACAAAGATTCAGTCAGAGCTCAGCCCTTATTACACACCGAAGAACTCATACAGGAGAAAAGCCCTATCAGTGCAACGAATGTGGAAAAAGCTTTAGCCGGAGCTCAAATCTGGCAACACACCGAAGAACCCACATGGTGGAGAAGCCCTATAAATGTGGTGAGTGTGGGAAAAGTTTCAGCCAGAGTTCTAGTTTGATTGCCCATCAAGGAATGCACACAGGAGAGAAACCCTATGAATGTCTGACATGTGGGGAAAGCTTTAGTTGGAGTTCCAACCTTATTAAACACCAGAGAATCCACACAGGAGAGAAGCCCTATAAGTGCTCTGAGTGTGGTAAATGTTTCAGCCAGCGATCACAACTTGTGGTCCATCAGAGAACTCACACAGGAGAGAAGCCATATAAATGCCTCATGTGTGGAAAAAGCTTCAGCCGGGGATCAATCCTTGTCATGCACCAGAGAGCTCATCTAGGGGACAAACCTTATAGATGTCCTGAATGTGGGAAAGGCTTTAGTTGGAATTCTGTTCTTATCATACATCAAAGAATACACACAGGAGAAAGGCCCTACAAATGCCCAGAGTGTGGGAAGGGCTTTAGTAATAGTTCCAACTTTATTACACATCAGAGAACTCACATGAAAGAGAAGCTCTATTGATGTAGCAAGTATGGGAAAAGTTTGCTATCAGGGAACTGATAGGAGAGGAAAGCTACAAGCACCCTGAAGGCAGTAGTTCTACCAAAAAAAAAAATCTACCTAATGTCCCATTTAAAGGTCCATTTACTTTAATGTTCTATAGAACTTTTTGCCAAAATCTTACCATTGCCCATCCTGATATTTGGAATGCTATCTTGTAGTCTGAAGAGCTCAAAAGAAACAGGACAGGAATGGAAGGTCAGGCAATGTGGATCATGTATCTGGTTCTGCCAGCAATTCGCTGCTTAATCCCCTGTCTCCTTCCCTTGTGCCTAAGATTTCCCTCTGTAAAATAGGGAGAATATTTCCAGGTGTGAGGAGAAAAACATCTGCAAAATGGGTCAGATTGCTCAGAAAAAGGCCATAGATCCATATGAATGCTTGTTCTTTTCCCCAGCTTGGCTGTTGCTATGGTGCCTTCATTCCATTCTGTTGTGCTGCCACTAAATATTTTCTTCTTGGATTTAGTATATTAGGCTACACCTCTAAGGTCAAGGACAGAGATAGGGCAATACAGCTTGTAATGAAAAGAAGAGGGATAGACATCAAGGTCAAGCCCTTTCCATTTCTGGAATATGCCAGAAGCACAGAGAAGGCACATAGAGTAAGTGCAGCCTAAAACTGGGCTGTACTCCACTGAGAGGGGCTGGACCTCCCTACTCTGGAAATTTATGAAGTGAATGTAATTTAACAGGTGCCCACTAAGCTAACCATGTAGTAGCCCTGCCAGAGTAAGGAGGCCACATTGGGGAGTGGAATTGGTTGTTGAGAATATATATCTGAAGGGGTGGAGGCCCGTTTGAGACCTAGTGACTTCTACAATTGGTGGTTAATAATTTTCTTCCTCATACAGTGGGAGACAGTTGATACTTCCCTCACTGCTGGAGGAAACTTTTTTTTCACTTACACCACACACAGATATGTAGCCCTATAATCATTTTATAGTAATTCATTCTATGCACTTGTATTTCCTTATAGATTATTTCTCTTGTATACTCAGCTCTAGAATTCTGTCTAGTTTATTGCATACTAAAAACTTATTTCTAAGGAAGTGCTGGTGTTCATGTCATCTGGTCTGAGTTTAGACCTCTGTGGCTTGTGCCCACTCTTGTGGGATGCTGCTATGGCTTTGTGCCTGTGGGCCCTGAGTCTTGCAGCAATGAAAACAGTGGAAAGAGAACAGCTGAAGGGGGTTATAAGTGGGGTAGAGGACAGGCAGAGAAGGCGTTTCTGGGAAACATGAAGCTGTCTCCCTCTGCACATGGAACCTGGACTTAAGATGAGTCCTCAGGTCCCATGGTCCTTCATTCTTTTAATAAAGTATTCCTGTCCCTCTGCTGACTCAGTCCTTTAACTCATATGGTTCAAAATCACATGTTTCTATATCAGGAAGCCCCAGTCAGTGGATTAGGATTATGAAAACCTACCTAATAAACTAAATCAGTTGTCATTGCTGCCAGTCACAACTCTCCAAACTGTGATGGTTTGCCAGCAGTCCTGATAGGGTGAGGAAGACAGCTGGTATTTATCTTCTTCCTTATTCAGGGACTTGGAATTATCAAAATGCATCACCTGACTCCCAAATTTAGAGACTTTGCCATCATTCTTCAACCTCTTTTCCTGTCCTTTTCCCCCCAAAAATGATCTCACTGACATTTCAGAGAAATGAAAGATAGGTCTAGTTCACAGAAAGTTTTGGGATCCCTGTTGTATGTAGGATTTGCCAACAGGCCTATTGTAGCCCCAACCCATGGAACTAGCTGGCCAGTGGGAACAAATGGATGAGTGTGTTTTAGTCATAACTGTTCCAGAGCCCTACATAGTGCCTTGCACGAAGTAAGTGATCAATAAATATTTGTTGGTTGATTGTTCTCTTAGCCTTTGAGCAGGAGGGAAAAAAAAATCTTAAAGGACAGGACACCAGCTTTCCTTAGCTGTCTGATCATGTAATAGAAGTGTTCCTTCTCTTAGATGATGCATAGTCCATTTGTCGCTGCTTCATTTTCAGCTACAGTTTAGAATTATGACCTGGAAATTGATTTGGGTTTTTTAAAAAATACTTTCTCTTTGGTGTAAGTGTGATTTATTTGGCTTTTGTAAAACACAGCTGGCCCTTAATATTTGTTCATCTGATTGATTTTAACACTGCATTCTTTGTAACTGGCCTTAGTGAATGTATTCAGAGCTAAATATACTAACCAAATAAAGGCACATTGAAACAACATTTTAAATAGTCACCCTACAATTCTATCGTATCTTTAATGGCCAGTATAAACCATTTACCAGTTTTAAAATGTAACTGACAGTATAAGCACATAGCATTCATTTCTCTTCCAAGTCCTCATTTAAATAACCAAAGTCCTCAGACAACAGAGTTGGATTAGATGATCTCTAAGCTTTAGCTCTAAATCCTATAAGGGTAATATAATCCTAATAGCTATATAGAAATGCACTCCTAAGAAAGTCTGCCCTCATTTTTAGTTTTTAGGGTTTGAGGCAAGTTCTAATGAGAGTTTTATATTACGCACTCCTAAGAAAGTCTGCCCTCATTTTTAGTTTTTAGGGTTTGAGGCAAGTTCTAATGAGAGTTTTATATTACCCCAGAATGATTCTGTCAGGTAAAAGATATTGCCAAGTATTGGTGATGGTGACTTGCTGGCCTGGATACTTTACATATAATTGGATATAGAGATTTCTCAATCAAAATGAACCACTGCATGTTAATAAACAAATTATAAAACAACTGCATGTAAAAATAAATTAGCTATATTACTAAATCAGTGAGAAATAGCATGAAGTACTAACTGAAGTATGTCTGCTTAATTTAATCTGTTGATTTTAGTTTTCTGAGAGGTTTTCACCGGTTTATCCATAGTTCTGTCAAAATTATGTTCCACAACTTATGCTAAGGTGCCCTCATGTTTTATCTTCATTAGCACATTTTAAAATGAGATACAGTTCTTCCCAAAGATTGTTCTTTGACAATGACTCTATTGCTCTCATAATGGAGGAACATCCCAACAGTCCCTCTTAAAGAACTGCATATATGCCCAACTACTTTAATAACAAAAACATTAAATATAAACAAATTGAGTCTTTCCATCCTTTTTTTACATACCGCTATACATAATGTTTTTAAATCATCTTAAGATCCTAATGAATCTGTGAATTCCCATAGACATCATTTACACAACCCCCTCTTGACCTCAATTAAAACTTTTTGTTGAATCTTCCCTCACAGTTGCCTCTTACTGCTTCTGCTACCCTTGGTTAAGGGGCAGAGGAACTAGCTAGATGTTTTCTTCCAAATGATCCTGTATTGGCAGTTAGTAATCATGAGGGACCTAGTCTCCCTAGCAGCCAGAAGCTGTAAGCAGATAAATTGTGTTCTACAAAGATGAACTGTCAAGGTTTTGTTAAGAAGCATTCTGAGATGAGATTACAGTTCACTGATTAAGGTAGAACCAGTTTTTTTTTTCCATAACAGAAAAGTCCAATCTGGATGGAACACAGATGTGTACCCTCAGGTATTAATTACTTCAAAACAACAATTCAAAAAATGGTATCTGTTCTTTCTCCTGAAGATATGGGATGAAGTACACACATGAGTTATGTGTGTCTATAGTCTCCATGTTTGACTTTGTTCCCTATCACAATTCCCACGTTCTTTAAAAGACCTTGGAAAACCTGAGGTGCTCCTAGATCAAAAAAGGCTGAATGACAGGGAAAGAAAAACCCAGCACTGGCTTCTTCAATTAAACATGTTCCACAGAAGTTGGATCTTAGTAGCAGAGATCTTAGAATACAAAGGTTAGGTGCCATTCATCCATTTAAATGTTCTGAACATATAGAAATCTTGGTCAAAAGTTCTGAAATGACAAAAATGAACTAATCAGAGGATGTATTGCGAGACTCGGTCTTTTCTGGTAGGGGTAGGAATGTTGATCGACCAGGTGCCTATCACTGGATTGCTTAAGTACCTGATGCTCCGTTCAGTGACCCCCTACACAAAGATGGACTCCAGGACTCCACAAGATTACAGGATTCAGAATTGGAGGCTATCTTAGGGACCACCAAATCCAGCCCTTCACATATCAGTGAAGAAGGAAGGGTCACTGGCTGCAAGAAGACCCTAGGCTGGGAGGAGAGCAATGACAATCACAAGCACTTAGTGAGCACCCGTGCTGTGCCCTGCCCCCTCTGCTATTCCCCTTCTTTAAGTGAGCAGAAAGGACGAGGATGGGAGCCTGACGGTCCAAAAGAGAGGCACCCCGAGCTTGTAACGGGAAAAGAAGAGGAAAAAAAAAAACAACAGTCCTGCTTCTTCTCATCTCCTAATAATTACGCTTTCATTTGTTTAACACTTTACAGTTTTCAAACCACTTTCACATACATTATCTCATTGACCCCTCACCACTGCCCTGTGAGGTAGGCGGCGGACAGGGCTCAGTGTGCCCATAGCATGGATGCGGAAATTGAGGCTCAGAGAGGTGAAAAGATCAGGTCAAGGTGACGAATTAACGGCAGTCAGGATTAGAGCCATGCACATGGCCAACCTGCCACTTTCTGTGGCGCCCTGTTATATGCACCTCACCCCCCTTTTCCCCCTCTGTCTGAAACACTCGGCGAGGGCCGGACCTTCGCTGGGGGCGGCAGCCCCTCTCTCCTCAATCATTCAACCTGGGATCCTAGGATTTAGACACCTCAGCGGTCATTTAGTCCAACCCCCACATTTTACAGACGAGGAAACGGAGGCCAGAGAAGTGGAGCGACTTGCCCATGGTCACACAGCGACTTCGTGGCGGAGCCGACGTTGGAATGCAGCTATCCCAAGTCGGGGGCGCTTCCTCGGCAGCCGGCTGCCTCATACACTGCCTCGGGCCGGGGCCGGGGTCGGAACCGGGTGGCCTCGCTGGTCGCCGGCGCCGAACCGCAGCCCGTTGAACTCACGATTGAATGAAATCGTTACTGGGCGGGGTTCTCCTTCTCAGGCCGGGACTCACCCAGAGGGGCCGGGCTGGCCAGGCCGACCTCGCCTCCTACAAGGCCCCTCCCCGGGACCGCCGCTTTTGAGGGCCAGCCAAGAGAAGAGCCGCGTAGTGGCAACACGACTCTAACGGCCCCGTCCGCGAAACGACCTCCGAGCACCTGGGAACCGTGAAGTAAGAAGCGCCCACCCTTCTCCTCCGGTGATAGGTCCGTGTGAAGTCGCACCCGAACTCACTCTTTCCCCATTGGCTGTTCTTGAGGGGTGAGGAGAGCGCGAGGAGGCTTCTGGGAGACGTAGTTGCTTTGACTCCGCCTGAGTCCTTCGTTTCAGGGTCCGCATTTCCGCTTCCTGTGTTGAGGCGGTTGTGTCTGTCGGCTCGTATCCTTAAGTTGAGGCGGCTTGAGGGGCAGGCGAGGAGGCTGCGGCGAACGCGGGCTCCGCGAAGAGCTGGCGATTCTTCGGGAGTGAGCAGACCTCCCCGCGCGGTGTGGGGCTCCGGCAGCAGCGTGGGGAGGGGACTGGGTCAGTGAGGGCTGGACGCTGCCCAGGCCGCCCGGACACTGCCCTGCGCCCTCAGGCCTGCGAAGGGAGGGGAGGGAGGGGAGGTGGGCTTCTCCGGCAGCAGGCTCCGAGACTCGCCGGGCCCGGGCAGGGAGGGTCCCCAGGGTCAGCACTCCTCCTAACCCTTACTTCCTGGCCCCCGAGAGGTCCCCTCCCCCTTTCCCCCTCTTTTTTCCCGTAGTTTGAGCTGTGGCCGAGGCATGTCATAGTCCCTGGAGTGTTTTTGCGTGCGCTTCCCGCTTCATCAAAGTTAGCTGGCTGGCTCAGAAAGAAGTGGTCCCAAGTGTATACCACGGAACTTCCAGTGAAAGACTGCACATGTTAGCCCAAGGGACCTTTCTCTGTTAGAATTCTCTAGTTTGAATTACAAGTTTAAACATAGAGCCCTTTTTTTCTGCCACTAATTTATTTGAGGGACCTTAGGAAAATCACTTGGCTTCTCTTGACAAACTTTTCTCATATCTAAAAGAAGGGGAATGTACTCTGTTTCCAAAAGTCCTTTCCAACACTAAAAATCTATAATTTTTAGAACCTAGGACCCAAGGAGAACAGGGTATGGAGAAGCTTGGGACAAATAATCAACCTGCCGGTTAAGTAGGCTCTAGAGAGCCTACCCTTTCCTAAAATCCCATGCCCTGTTCAGGTGCTGCTCTCCATGGTGCTTGTGTGTGATCTCAACCTCATTCTGGGTTCCAATTTGTAGTTCTGGGGACGAACATAACTTGGTATCATAATGAAGGGATAGGTAGGGACTGACCTTCCTCTGTTGAAGAAGCCTGGGAAAGGAAGAAACAAGGAGGTATTTTATGCTGCTGTACAAGGATCTGGGATGGGTTAACATCCATCAGTTAATATCTGTTGATGCTATTGTTATGTTTCTCTATACCTAGAGCCCTCTGGAAGAGTTCCACTCAGTGGTGCCTAGCCAGAGGCAAGAGTTAGCTTGCCAGGGAAAAAAAAAGAAAGGAAGAAATCCGACCACAAGGAAAAAGCCTCTTCTTCTTGAACTGGACAATGGCTGTAGTTTTGGACCCTCAGGTCCAGGCTACTCAAACACAAGACGGATTCCTCATAGTGAAACTAGAAGATGATTCCCCCTGGCATCAGGAATCTTTCCTTCATGGAAATGACCAAGGTCCTAAGGCTTCCTGTCAGCGTTTCTGGCAGTTCCAATATCAGGAGGCAGCAGGGCCACGTGAAGCTTTAAATCATCTCCGTGAACTCTGTCGTCAGTGGTTAAGACCAGAGAAGTGCACTAAAGAACAGATTCTAGAGCTGCTTGTGCTGGAGCAGTTCCTGACTGTTCTTCCTAGAGAAATCCAGACCTGGGTTAGAGAACAACATCCAGAGAGTGGAGAGGAGGCAGTGACCCTGGTGGAAAATTTGCAAAGAGAACCTGGCAGGTCAGGGCTGAAGGTGAGAATGGGATCCTTTGTTTCATGAAAATAGAGCTATGTGAGGTATAGCCCTCAGCTGGAGGCAATATAGGTAAAACATGGCTCCTTACTGTTTCATGCTCATTGGGATGATTTTGATGCTTAGATGAAAGGAAATTTTCCTTGCAGTGTTCAGAGAATATGTCCAGGGAATATACAGCATTTTCCTAAATCCTTCTTGCTGTCTGCTGTGAAATGGAAAAACAGCTTGAAAGGTCCCACATCCCATTGTTACCAATGAAAATATAAGTTCCTTGAAGCTGGGGTTGTTTCATTTTTCATCATTAGTGCCTAGAAATGTCTTACAAATAATTCAGTGAATCTGTGATCTTGTTGATGTGAGTATTCCTCTCAGTGGTGCAGATCACAGCCTAACCCTGCCTTATTCTGTGCTACCTTTGTTCATGTTTTCCACAAGGGGTCAACTCAGTGAGTAGTGCTGGGGACCTTCTGCTAGATCTCTTGACATTGCAGGCACCTTCTTCTTACTACATGACCACTTCACCTCTTCTTCTAGTAACATTTCTCTGATGACATCTTTTTAACTGCTTCTCTTGAACAATTCTTCACTTCTGATATGTTACAGAATGCTTATGTCTACCTTTTCTCTCAATGTCTTTGTGTGACTTGCAACTTTAATTCTTTGGAGAGTGGTATTCCATGACTCATACATAAAACAACACCAGAAGAATAAGTGTCTTTAAAAGAAAGGTCTTTTTTTCAGAGAGGACCATGAGTTATTAAAAGCATTGCTCAACTTTCCAGATGGAATCCAGCCCATTCTTCCTCCTGTTCAGTTTTGGGACCAGCTCCCTGTCCACCTTCAGTATCTTTTAAGATGTATGGCACTGATAGACTGCTTCTGTTGTCCATTTGGCTATATGTCATTGTCTGGACAATGGGTATTATTCATCCATTTTGTTTTTTTTATGTTAGGCCAAACACTTTTGAGTGATTATGGTTCTCATTTAGAAGGTTCTGCAGTGTTCCCAGGTTTGATATAATCATCCACAGACAGGAACATATGGAATCCCTCTTTCATTTGGACTCTGTAATGGACATTCTCCATGATGATGGCAACACAGTTGGCAAACATACATCTACCTTTTTATGCTTCACTGAATATCAGTAATCAGTGTCTGAATAAATTTACCTTTCCTCTCCCCTCTCATCCTTTGCAATAGATGTTGAGACATAAGCTGCAATTATTATGGTATTCTTTTTACAAATACTTATCATGAATGCTGCAAAAATGAATGACCAAATGCTCCATGAAATAATGTTTCTTGTTTCCTTTGGATGCACGATAAAACCAATTCTCCCAACTTTTTTACTTATATTTCTAAGAAAAGCCTAAACACAATCCTTCCATTTAATTACAATTTCTTTTTGTCTTCTTGTTTCTTTGATATTGAGTATGTCAAGATTGGCATGATTGAGTTCCTCAACGAATATGACCATTCACTATCAATGAACAAAGATCTCACATTTACAGTATCAATAGCTAAACTGATGTTTAAAATTTAAAAATTATGTGATTCTTAGTACTTTCTCCCTGCTCCCTTTTACACCATTCTGCTACCATCATTGCTGAAGGAGAGCACCATATAGGAGTGGGGTCCTTTTGTTATGTTCCTTTGTTTCATAGGTAGTCATGAAAAAAAGAATTTCCAAATGGCCAGCCTACTGGCAAAAGCCTTTATACATTTAGCTAATTTGGTCCTGGGAAAGTAGAAGGCCTATTATAGGGATCATCTGTCAAGTCCTTCCAGTCTGGTAGAACCTGCCAGAACCATAATCTTTAGGAACTCAGAGTCACTTCCTTGGCACAATGAGACATCACAATAGAATTTTATGGAAGGTCTTGTACTTTGTAGACACTTCCTAAATATTAAATGGAATTGAAGGAGAGCTTTGTAAATGGCATAGAGTCCATTTCTTGGGATAACTGTACAAGTAACAGTTCCTGCCACACGTAGCCTGAAGAAAAAAGCTTAAAACAGCAGCTCGGTGCCTTAATAGATAGAGCCCTGGACCTGGACTCAGGAAGACCTCAGTTCAAATCCTGCTTCAGACACTAGCTATGACCCTGGGCAAGTCACTTAACCTCTGATCTGCATCAGTTTCCCCATCTATAAAATGGGGATAATAATAGCAGCTAAGTACAGTGAAAACACTGAATCCTACTAACATTTCTGTACATCACTTTACTATTATTGGTATGGCTATTTAAGGGATACTCAAAGCAGTAGGAATAGATGTCAGGAAAACTGGGTAGACAAGTTGCATGGCACCTGATTTTGCTGAACCTGATTCTGGCAGAAGTGCTTGTAGCTACTCTTGGATGTCTCTATATTATTCGCTGATAACTTAAAGATTTTCAGTAAGCCTGGTTTTCTCTTTTTATCCTAGGGTATCCTACCTAGAATAGTTTGGATGGTTATATTTTAACTTACAAGATTTGCCCACTTTTAGCAGGCTTTGCAGTGACAGGAATTGTGGGCTTTTCCTAGGTCCCAGTCGTTATGAAAGGGCAGGAAGTACTCACAGAGATGGTAACAGCTGCAGGATCAGTACCCAATTCACTAAGTATCCATCTGAAGCAAACACAGACAAAATCCAAATGTACACTCCAGGAGAATGCAGAGAGATTACACCTAGGACCAGAGAAAGAGCTGAGCTGTGATCCTAAGATAGAGCCCCATTCCCTTCAGGACAGTGGTAAGTAACTAGAAGAAAAGAGGGAACCCTTTTTGGAGGTTAATGGAGTTGTGAGAACCTGGACAGCTTTGAGAACAGAAAATGTGTGATGGGGACATTTTCCTGCCTTTTGGAAAGAATTGTGTACAAAACTAGTACCTTTATTTGAATCTTTAGAAATTCAGTTTGTAGACCTCCAGTAGTCTCTATAAGTAGTTAAAGAGGACGAACTGTTCTTTAATCTTGTGAAGTTAGTGTATAGATCCCAGATTGGGAAAGGGAAGTGGGAGTTGGAAGGGGAAATGGAAGGGTGGCAAAGGCTATATAGTCCCAATAAATGAGGGTGGGCGGGGAACCCAGGCCTGGTTAGTGGCAGAGCCACAGGATAAGCTTGCAATAATTCTCAGTCGTGTTATAGAACTATACAAGTGACAGGTGTGTCACAGAACTAGGGGAAAAAATGGTTGGAAGTGGCAAAATCTTTATTAACATCCCTTAGATATTTCTCACTTCACTTTTTCACCAAATCCCTTTAACAGAAAGAGGCAATAACAGAAATAGTTTATGTCCTCCTTTTTAAAGTCATCTAGAAGTATTGCTACATAAAAAGGGTTGGAAACAGTTATAATCTAGTGATTCTTTTTTTCTTTAGCTCTGCCTACTTCTCCGGTGCTTGATCTTCCTGCAGAAGCAAGTAGCAGTAACCAAGAGATGGTGGGCAGGTCCCAGGTAAGCTGCTATTTTCTCTTTGTCTTATCACTGCTATTTGAATATGGTCCTATGCCATTCCTTCCTGTTTACCCCATGAGGAATATTGCTCCAGTTTCCCTCTCTCCACCTTCTTCAGGACCACCCCACCCAGTGATTATATTTAGTACACAAGACTGACTGTCCTGGAAAATAGGTTTCAAAATTTCATTAGCCTACAAAATGTGTCCTGAACCTTCTTACATAGACATTAGTATCCTTAATGGAAAAAAAAAACAGAATCAAAGCTAAGGAACATGTTCTTACTTTTTATGAAAATTCTTATTTTCCCACACTGACTGCTTAGGTTTTGGGCTTGTGCAAATTTGCATGATTGCTTTAAATTACTGGATGCTTCTTCATTCCTTGTGTGTTTTTTTCACCCAAGAGGCTTGCCACACTCAGAATTGTAAATAAATGTCCTGTTGGACAGGGCAATTATATTTTTCTAGAGTCAGTCATTTCAGAGCAGGACAATTTTTTCATTATTCCAGGAGCTGGTGACTTTTGGAGATGTGGCCGTATATTTCTCTCAGGAGGCACAGGGACAGTTGGACCCAACTCCACCAGACCTCTTGCAAGATCAAACTCAGGAGAATTATGAAAATGGTGTCTCTCAGAGTAAGAACACACTTCCCTGTTAAACTTTTAAATTATTATGCTTCAGTAGGACTCATCTCCTTAGAACTTTGACAGTGTTTTCTTTTAATCACAAATAAGAAAGAGACATCCATCCCCTGCCTTCCCCTTGGCACAGAGGACATTAAAAAACCCAGTAAGTTCTTGATCAGCACAAACCACTATGTTCTCTGTTTCTTTGTGAACAGGATTTCCAGTTCCCAGACCCAATATGATCTCCCAGTTAAAGCAAGAGGAGAAACTGCAGAACCCAGATCTTCAAGGCTCTAAGGAGAAGGAAAATTCAAAAGATTCTCAATTAGGTGAACAAGCAAAATTTGTTCAAGCAGCAGTAATGAAAAAAGTCAAACACTGGGAAGATCTGGAGCATCAGGGCTTGGAAGATGAGAAGGTGGCAGGTGTACACTGGGGCTATGAGGAAACCAAAATCTTCCTAGGGATTCTCAGTGAGTCTTGGATTTATGAAAAACTCCGAACTTGTCACCGGAACCGTCAGGTATACCGGATTGTGGCCAAGAGACTACGTGAGCGAGGCTTCCTCCGGACTCTGGAACAATGTCGATATAGATTTAAAAACCTTCAGACAAACTACCGCAAAGCAAGAAGCACCCACACCCCAGGAACCTGCCCCTTCTACGAGGAGATGGATGCTCTGATGAGCCCCCGTATTGCTGTCACTGCCCTAGAGGTGGAAGGGGATGTCCTTGGGCAGGGGGACCATGATGTTGAAACTGAAGAACTCGAGAGGGATAGTTGGGAACATGAGGAAATAGCTGTGGCAGGGGTTGTGTTAGAGGGTGGATCCAGGGAACTGGACCTGGTCCATCCAGCAGCATCTTTGGAAGAATTGAAATCAGGGGCTATAACAGAAGATTCTGATGGTGATGAATTGGGTAACGATAAAACATCTGAAAGCCCTGGTACCCCAACCCTGTTTCGGAGTGCCACGGGTAAGAAGAATGTGTCAAGAGCAGAGTTGGGAGTTCCTGGGTTTTCGTGAAATTTGGTGATATATTCTTGTCCTAACCTCATATTTCAGAAGAGTCATAGAATCAGGGCATTATTAATAGTAGGTAGTAGGAAGGCATGTGGGCCAGAGTTATGTACATGTACAAAAGTCTTCATTCCTAGGACTAGTCAGAGTACTCATTACATCAGAATAATTTATGTAAGTAAAAACAAATTCACATCTTAGATAGACTACCAAAAGTCTAATCTTAGGAAACAATTCTAATCTGATTATTTTTTAGGAAGTCATTACTAAAAAAGATTAGAGGGGAATTGGGGTGGGGGAGTATTCTGAAAACTTCTTCTACTGACCGTATAGTACACAGCCCTTTTTTGACAGGTCTAAACTTTTCTCTAGGAGTGCACTGGGGATATGAAGAAACCAAGATTTTTCTGGGGATTCTTGGTGAGCCTCATATTTATGAAAAACTCCGGACCTGTCACCGGAACCGTCAAGTGTACAGGATTGTGGCTGAGCGTCTTCGTGAATGTGGTTTCCTCCGAACTCTGGAGCAATGTCGTTACAGATTTAAAAACCTTCAGACACACTACCGAAAAGCAAGAAGTGGCCACACCCCAGGGACCTGCCCCTTTTATGAAGAGATGGATGCCCTGATGAGTCCATGGACTACCATTACTCCCTTTGATGTCCTAGAAATGGCAGGGGGTCTTCTAAAGGAGAAAGCAGAATCCAAGGAGAGCACTGGCTGGGAGAACCACGAGACAGTAACAGAAGATGGCAACCATGTGGAAGTGGAGGCATCACCAAAGGCGCTCAAGAACTTTAAGTCACAGGATCTATTTCAGAATCCCAGTGGTAAACAACTCTTTCTATGGGACCCTATATCCATTGCCTAATGGTGGTCTTAATGTAGAGAGGCATGATGTAGGCATTAGGAAACATTGGTAGTAGTCCTGACCCTGCTATTGATCTCTGTTAAGAACACTATTTGCTTACTGGGTGGGAAACTAATCACTTTTTTAGTACAGTGGTCCTGATTATAAGCTGTTGACCTCTCATCATCAAAATGTTCCATATACAAATCTTTCTATTGGCTCAGAAGCTATCCTGGGTGAATCACTAAAATTCCTAGGGGCTGTGGGAAGTCTGATACTGGGACAAACAAGATTTGCTTTTCTCAGTTCAAGCATGTCATCATGGCTCTTACTGATAGAAATGAAAACTACAGGAGCAATGGGGAATGGGTTAAGAGGGTCACTTTATTGAGTAGAGATAGAAATTTTGCAGTTTCTTGCTTCCAAAGTACCTGACAAGCACTGGCATAGGTATTGTATTGCACAAATGTATAATTTTCCTCCATTTCCTAAATCCTAACTTCTGCCCATATGCCTTCAGAATGCAAATGTTTACTACATCTTTAATCATAGTCTATGAACTTTCTATCTATACACCAAACTTTCCTAAGTTTTCCTAAATTTTTTTTCTTATGCTTTTTCATACTTTCTATGGAGAGGAGACCTCAGAATAAGTTCTAGAGAAGTTTCATGGGAACTCGTTTGCTTTTTCTTGAGCAGAACTTCCCATTCCCAAGCCAGATTCAAACTCCAGGCCAGAGAAGGGGGAAGAGCTATGGAATGTCAATCTCCCTGATTCTAAGGAAATTCAGAGAAGTCCCCACACAGGTAAGAACAAAGAAACAACCAAACCTGTGGTTGTGAACCACAAGATTTATTTTATAAATAGGCAGCAGCTGCACTTGCTTTAGTCCACCACTGCCAAAATGACACAGAGAAGAATGTTAACAGGAGAAAGGAATGCCCAAAAAAGATCTACTCCACCATTCTTGAGGCTTGTACCTAGGACAATGGCCGTGTATAGAACTGGGCTGAATTTGTAATCTTCTTGTCATTGAGCACTTACTGAGCATTCAGTGGACTCATGCCAGTGTTTTAAATGCTACATACTTCATCCACAGACTGTTCTTACTCCCTTCCATTCAGGAGATCAGTAATATCTATTTTCTACTCATTTTTTCAGATTTGGAAATGAGCAATGAGAAGGAGGAGAATCTGAGCCAGGAAATTTCTGAGGAAATAGCACTACATGCAGCATTACTGGGAAGCTCCAAAAGAAATGTTTCCCATTATCTTAATTGGAGGAAAGCCTGGGGAAAGCGAATACAGAATTGAAAGACCATGGGAAATGCTCCCAGGGGAGGCACAAGGGCCACCATCTCCTCACAAAAGAAATCTGGGCAATTTTATAGGTCTTCAGGGAACCTACATAGGAGAAAACCCAAACACATGTTCTGAATGTGGAAAAAACTTCAGTCAGAGCTCACACCTTGCTGTACATCGATTAGCTCACGTTGGGGAAAAGAAATCATATAATTGTGATGAGTGTGGTAAGACCTTTGGTCGAAGTTCACATCTTATTTGCCACCAGAGAATCCACACAGGAGAGAAGCCTTACAAATGTCCTGAATGTGGAAAAGGCTTCAGTGATCACTCTAACCTCACAGCACATCAAAGAATCCATACCGGAGAAAAACCCTATAAATGTGGTGAGTGCTGGAAAAGCTTCAATCAAAGCTCAAGCCTTATTATGCATCAGAGAATTCACACAGGAGAAAAACCCCACAAGTGCAGTGAATGTGGAAAAAGCTTCACTAACAGCTCACATTTCAATGCTCATTGGAGGACTCACACAGGTGAAAAACCCTACCAGTGTCCTGAATGTGGGAAAAGATTTAGTAAGAGTTCTACCCTCACTAGCCATCAGAGAATACATACAGGAGAAAAAACCCTATGAATGTCTTGAATGTGGAAAAAGTTTCAGTGATCGTTCAAATCTCATTACACATCGACGAATTCATACAGGAGAGAGACCCTATAAGTGTGGTGAGTGCGGGAAAAGCTTCAATCAGAGTTCAAGCCTTATTATACACCAGAGAATACACACAGGAGAGAAACCCTATGAATGTAGTGAATGTGGCAGAAGGTTTAATAACAGCTCACACTTTAGTGCACACCGGAGAACTCATATGGGAGAGAAACGCTGACTGGCACCAAATGTTAGAGAAATATCAGTAAAGCTTCAAGTTTTACATACCAGGTAATCAACCCCAAAAGAAAAGTTTCTGTTGTATTTAATTCTGTACCACATCTGAAAAAAACTGTAGCAGTTAAGGTTCACTACCCAACAGAAATAATGTTTCTGTTTTATTTAAATGTGCACTTGTCTTAGAAAATATGCTTCAGGATTCTCTTAAATGCTGTTGAAGCTGAAGCCATGTTTCCAAAGCCATTAGAGACCAGAGTTCTTTTCTGACTCAGTCACCATCTCACTGTATGGCTCCTGTATGACTTCCATAGCTTCCACACCTTGGAAATAGGAAGAGGGCAGTTCTGTCCTTGAACACCCTCCCTGCCTGGAGAGAGGAGTGGCATTATCACCATCAGAGAAGTGACAATAATGGTCATATAACCTAGCTGCAGAGCAGGACTGTGGACCCACACTGAGTGTGCAATTATCACTGCCCAGCATCACTTGAAGGACATGAAAGAGAGACCACATCTAGAGTCTCTTTCAGTGCTAGAAGTTGGTGTTCTCTAAACTACTACAAACACCACCTGCCAGCTTGGTTTTTCTTTATTTAATGAGGGATGGCTATGAGTAATGGTACTATATTTAATTCAAGTCAGTAGCCATCATAATAAGTGCCTACTACATACAAAGCACTGCACTATGCACTATAGGTAGGAGGTGGAAGAAATGCAAAAATAATTGTTCCAAATTACAGCTGTGCTTCTATAATGTTGAAGAATTATATTCTTTGGTCTGAAACCTGGTGTTGTGCCTAAAATAAGGTAACTAGGTTATATAGAAGAGACAAAGTGGATGGTTTCTTGAGATGTGGTAAAGAGTTTCCTGGAATGTGTCCTGAGCAATAACTAAAAAGTACAGTGTCTTTAAGAAGTGACGTAGTTTTTTAGGCCTTTGAGTACCCTGGACCATAGATAGGCTGAATTCTCCTTTTCCTCCCATCAAATCCCATGATTGCTACCTGTGTGTGCCTCATTGCTAGTCTCACCAAACATCAAGATGAAAGGAGTCAGGATGGGCTCAGCATGTGAGATCAGGTGTCACTTCCAGAAAGATGAAAAATTCTGAAGGTGAAGCTGTTTCCATACCCTGCCTCTGGGAACCTGAAAATTTTTAGAAAGCTTCAGAACCACAACAAGTTCCCTTTGTCTTAATAAGACAGAATTCTATTTTCTTCTTGGTTCATTTCTCTATTCCAGTGCTGCTGCAGTTAGCCATAAAAGATCAATCATCTCTATCCAATTTTTGTCTGCACCTATCAGTATAGTGGAGCAGCTAGGTGGTGCCGTGGATAGAGCACTGGGCCTGTGTTCAAATCTGGCCTCACGACACTTACTTACTAGTTGTGTGACCCTGGACAAATCATTTAACCTCGTCTATAAAATGAGCTGGAGAAGGAAATGGCAAACCACTCCAGTATCTTTGCCAAGAAAATCCCAAATAGGATCATGAAGAGTCAGACACAACTAAGCAATAACAAAAATGAAACCAGCATATCCCCTGCCATTCTTCTCCCAGTATATTAGTCTTCATTTTACTAATCTAAGAGAATGCAATATCTATGAATATTTGTACGCTCCCAAGTTATCAATTTCTTTTAGGCCTCAGGCATATTTGGACAAATGCTTGCTCTTTTTTTTTTTGCCTTGAGAAATTTTAAAATGTCTCCTCCATCTGGGATATGAGAAAGTGGGAGGTCTGGGGATCCCAGAAAATGTGCATATGTTTTCCAACTTTTCTACTATTGTAGGAACAATAGTTCTATGTGGCCAGAGAAATTCTATAGAGGCCATTAACATTCTTATCTTCATTGTGACTAAATTAAATGGCCTCCTTTGTGATGGTCACATGAAAAAAACAAACCACATTCTCAAAGGAACTCTATCTGGGGCTGCTGACCAAAGTTAACGCTAGAAAAGACATGGGGGGAAAAAATCATCTGTGAAGAGTTACTTTCCCCAAAGATGTAATATGCTAACCTCCTGACTGAAGATGAAGCAGTGACTAACCTGAAAGGGCTGTAATCTGCAGAAATATGTGTGATAAATTCCCTTTTAGCAAGATAGAAAACCAGCTGTCTCTATTTGTGGGAAACCTAGAGTGCCTGGGGAATTAAGTAATAAGTTCCTGGTCTAGACAGAATAATTTAGTTTGTTAAGTTTCATGCAATTCTCAAGCTGCACAATTCTGTGATAGGGACAGCTTGGCCTACACTCCAGATCTTACTCACAGTTCTGTTTCTGATTCTTTCCTGCTGGGTGTCCATGAAGCCAAGGTAAAAAGGTTTAGAAGGGAAACAGTTTTGTTAGGTCACTGTCCCTACATACCCAGGATCCAAGGAAGGGTCAGAAACTAACTGAAATTCCTCTCATTATCATATAGCACTAATAATGCTTCAGCCTTAACTTCCCAAGTCTGTTCTACCTTGGTGAGGTAAAAGTTTGTCATTCTCAGAATTTCCTTGGTGCTTCTTCATATCAGAATTTTAGCTCCCTTCAAAATAAGAACAAGCAGCTAAATGAGGTCTCCCCATAAAACACTGGTAACAGAGGGACTTAAGTTATGGGAATCAACCTACTTGCTTCAATGTTTGACCAGCTATTTTTGCCTGAGGTTCTTGAGTGGTTTCATGAAGGCTTTCTGTTGGGAAAAGACATACTTATGTACTAAAACAAAGTCATAATACTTTCCTACTATTAGAAATACAGTATGTAAATTATATCCTTGAGTTAAGTGTTTCATGTTGAATTACATACATAGTACTGTCCATAACTAAAACAGATAGAAAGCCTCTTTTATGAATAATTGAGTATTTGAAGATCTTCCTCAAAACCCACTGAGGACTGAGATGTCCTTTAAAAATTTAAACATACTTGAAAAGAGCTACCATGTTTTATTACAGAGCATCTCATGGTAAGAAATACTAGGTTGGGTAGAACAATATGACCAGTTTTTTTTTTGTGAGGCAACTGGGGTTAAGTGACTTGCCCAGAGTCACAAAGCTAGTAAATGCTATGTGTCTGAGGCAAGATTTGAACTTGGGTCCTCCCAACTCCAGGGCCAGTGCTCTATACACTGCACCACCTAGCTGTCCCAACAGATATTCTTAAGACAAAACTATTACAAAATGTTTCTGAACCTACCACCTGACTTTTATTTTCATAGAACCTTTAAGTATAAAGGGACTTTAAAGGTTATTTAGTACTCCAGCCCAGTACTAGAATTTCCTTCTACAAAAATCTTCACATGATCATCCAGGTGAGACACAAGTATTTTGCTCACTAAGTCAAAGGTAGAACAGTTCATTGTTAGCTTTGGGGGGAGGGGGGTCCTTTGACTTCTACTACTGGTCTTAGCTCTTCTTTATGGAGACAGAATAATTCATTTTCACGTGACAACCAAACATTTGAAGGCTTATCATACCTAGGCAGCTAGGTGACACTGGATGGAATGTGGGCCTGAAGTCAGGAAGAGCTGAGTTCAAATATCACTTACTAGCTGTGTGACCTTGGGCAAATCACTTAACCCTGTTTGCCCCAATTTCATCTGTAAAATGAGCTGGAGAAGGAAATGGCAAATCACTCAAGTATGTTTGCCAAGAAAACCCCAAATGGAGTCATAAAGAGTAAGATACAATTGAACAACAAGATCCTGCTTCCTTGGACATTAAGGCAAATAACTGGATTTGGCACTGAACATACAGCTTCCAGAATTGATACCTTTGGCTTTCAGAGCACTCCTATCCACACGAAGTTAAAATGACCTATACTCGGAGACTCTGTAGGGAAGCTAGAATAAGGAGTTAGTAAAGTGTGTCTGTTAGCGGAGAGCTACATTGATATTGATACATATATACATTAGATACATTGAATAGCTCAGAAACTGCCACTATATGTGGTTAATTTTTTTTTAATTCCCAGTGCTTAGCACAGTCCCTGGAATATAAGAAGCATTTTATAGATGCTTTGTCTAAAGTTACTTATACATCAGATCCATATCAACTCACAAGCCTGACTTGAAGTGTTGCTAATCAGTAGTGATACTAGTAGCTATTTCAGTCAAAAAATATTAAGCATGTGTGAGGCATTACGCCAAGGCAATAGTACCACTGTATCATTTGTACTATAGGCATTATAAAATTGTATACTGTGGTAGGTGAAAGAAGAAATAACTGATAAAACAAAGATTCAAGCTTCAGAGCATGTTGATTTATTAAGCAATACATGCCAACTGCTCAACAAATCAGGACCAGGCCTCCTCAGCTTTGGCACTGGACCCTGAATATAGGGGGAGATATGTCTTTGCATTAAAAACCAATTCATCAAATAAGACCAATTAATTAAAAGAAAACAACCAGAATACAAAACTAGGTAATCTGATTTCTAATTGGAGGAAAAATTAAGAACTTTTCTAATTGGGAGGGGAAAGAGTTAACAGATAGAAATCCCTAAAATTCAGAAGAGGTGTCCCACTCCCCCCAGTGTATTCAAAGGAACATGAAAACAATAGCTGATTAACTAGTAAGGGGCCAGTTATCAGATAAGACATATGAGTTGCTAGAGATGTATAATTGTGAGAAAACTTCTTGCATCAGTCTTGGGATCTGACTAGGTTTCTGGTCAACCTAACTTCTTAGTTAAGAGTCTCTAAGCAGCAGGTAGAGGTGGTCCACCTTCCCAGTCATGCAGGGCTAGGTCTAAACAATGCAATAAGGTTTGCTCCCAATTCCCACAACTGAATAAAGTTTTCTCACAAGACAAAGCTGAACTAAACTCATAATTGAATAGAAAGAGAACTGAGCCGCTTAGCTACAGAATTGAGTTACAAGATGGAATCAGTGTGATTCACCCAATTCCCACAATTAACCAACCACTCGCTGTTCTAATCCCATCAATCCTAGTCCAGGTCTTCAGTGAGTTTACAGCCTAGCTGGGGAGCCCAGCTGCCTTTTATGTATACACTTTATACATCCTCCTGTGTCAAATCTATGGTGTAAATATAAATAATTGGTGCTGTAGGAGCCAAAAGCAAGTCAAGCTCAATATCGGCTGGGGTGGCCAGGGAAGGCTTTATTGAGAAAATAGTTTTCAAATTAGTAATGACACTGTTAATTTAAACCTAAGGAAAAGATGGTAACGGGGAGAGAATTTTAAGGAAGTTTAGACAGGCTGCCCACTAAGTATGTGTTAAAATCAAGGAACTATGACAGCCACTGGAGATAGGACCACAAAAATTAAAACAGGCCTTGCCTTCAAGGGGTTTACATTCTACTGGAGGAAAACACCAGGGGCATAGATAAGTTAACATGAAATGGTTTGGCCTTCTCTGGGAGGTAGCACCAGAGCAGAGCCTTGAAGCAAATAGAGGATTCTAAGAGTAAGTATGGTAGGCATTGCTGGCTCGGAGCACAGCCTGTACAAGGTCATGGAAGTGGGAGACGAAAAGTTCCCTGTATGGAAACTGCAAGGAGCTCCAGTTTAACTGGAGCGTAGAGCAGGGGATGCAGCGTGAAAGTAAGAAATCTGGCAAGACGGAGAGTGGAGTCTAATTGGCAAGGTTTTCGGTTTTTTGTTTTTTAACATTAAAAAAGTTACACTTCATTTTAACATTCATTTTTTAAAAGTTTATTTCCAAACCTCCCTCCTTTCAGCCCCTTCCTCACCCAATGAGAAGCCAAACAATATGCCTATTATACATGTGAAAGCATGCAAAACCTATTTCCATATTAGCCATGTTGCAAAAAAGAGAAAGAAAAAAATAAAGTGAACAGTTTTCTTTTAAAAGGCTAACCAAAGGGCAGCTAGGTGGCGCAGTAGATACAGCACCGGCCCTGGAGTCTGGAGGGCTTGAGTCAAATGCGGTCTCACGACACATAATACTCACTAGCTGCGTGTGAACACGCGTTACTAAACCCACGAATTTTAGGGATTTCCTTCGCTAGACCTGTCCTTTAGGACTGTCATCACTTTGGTCACCGCGAGAGGAGGAAGAGGAAGTGAGGAGGAACACCAAGCGAGGAACGAGGGCGTGAGATATGCGAGTGGCGAAAAAGGGCTGCGGGACGGGGCAGTGGTGGAGGCAGAAACTAAGCGACAGTCCTACCCGTCCCACGGATTTGCCCCGAGCTTGTCCGCAAAGTGCCGCGACTTCCGCTTCCTCGGAAGCTTCGAACGGAGGAGGCAGGACTTCCTCCAATGCCTCTAAGAGCTTCCGGGGCGGTGGTTTGGCCGGCCAATCCGAGGTTACTTCCCGTATTCTGATTTCCTGCTGCCCCGTGCTTCCCCCTCCCCTAAAACTCTCCCCCCGCACCTCAAGTTTTGGGGAGGCGCTAGAGGAAAGACGACTCGGAAGCGATTCTCGCGTTATGTTGGGCCTGTACGGCCGCCGTTCTCTGCGAATCTGAGCGAGGCAGGGTAGCGGGGCCCGCGGCACCTGGAGTCAGGTTAGGGCCCCGTGTCCCCCACATAGTAGCTGCGTGTCCCTGACAGGCCATTTAACCTTTCTGAGCCGCAACCCCAGCTTTCTCATGTATAAATCAAACCTGATGAGATAAAGTACTTGCTTCACCAACTGCCCTCAGGACATTTCGACTTCGACGTTATCCTGTGAGCATCTCAGCTCATGCATCTAAAATAAAACTCCTCTTTTCCACCAAACCCACTCCCCTTCCGGACTCCAATCAACCTCCTCATATTAAACGGTTACCATGTGTCAGGCGCTGTGATAAGTGATGGAGATACAAAGAAAGGCAAAAACAGCCCCTGAGCTCAAGGAGTTTACATTCTAATGGGGAAGCCATGTATAAATAAAATAGGTATATATACAAGTATATTTACAGAGCCACTGGAAAGTAGCCTTAGAAGGGAAGTCCCTAGAAGATGATGGAATAAACGAATGAAAAACATTTATTAGGTGCTTACTGTATACAAATCACTGTGATTTGGGGAATACAAATAGAAAAAGAAGACAGCTCTTGCTATCAGCTTAAATTCTGATGGGAGAGACAACATCTAAAGATTTCAGCTTTGAGTCTTGAATGGGATGGGGAAAAGCTTCCTGAAGTAGGTAGCATTTCGAGTCTTTAAGGCAGCCAGGGACATCCCTATTAATCTTTATGATTATAGTTAATAGGAAGCCACTGGAGTTTATTGAATAGGAGAGTTATCGTGGTTAATGATTAAGGAAAATGATTAAGGAAAATAGACCTGAACTAGAATGTTTATATGTTGAGGAAAAGGGTACTGACAGAAAAAATGTTATGAAAGTGAAAATGACATTTCGCGATGAAGTAGATATGTGAGGTGACTAAAGTTAAGGATGACCCCATGCTTACAAACTTGGGTAATTGGAAAGATCATTATGTCTTTGACATAAATAAGGAAGGTTAAAAAGGGATAGGTTTGAGCCGAACAATAATGACCTCTAATATGAACAAATTGAGCTCAAGATGTTTAAGATGGGAACACCCAATTTGAAATGTACAGTAAGCAGCTGGTGACCTAAGTACTGGTCTGAAAGGTCACTCAAGTAGCCCCTTTTATTTTTCTTTTTTGATGAGGCAATGGGGTTAAGTGACTTGCCCAGGGTCATGCAGCTAGTGAGTGTTATGTGTCTATGGTCGGATTTGAACTCTGGTCCTCCTGACTCCAAGGCTAGAGCTCTATCCACTGTACCACTTAGCTGCCCGATCAAGTAGCTGCTTTTTAAAAAATTTTTAACATTTTTTATTTTTTCCATATGCTTTTGAGTTGAAAATTTTTCTCCCTTTTCCTCCCCCCCCACCCTCCCCAAGACGGTGCACAATCTGATATAGGCTTTACATTTACATACCCATTAAACATATTTTCACATCAGTGAAGTTGTAAGTACAAATTAAAACCAGTAGGAGGAACCATCAGAAAGATGAAACGAAACTGAACAGCAGGTAAAAAGTAGCTCCTTTTTACTTCTAGAATCAAACCTAAACTCCTCTGTCGGCATTTAAAACTCTTCACATCCTGGTCCCAGCTTACCTCTCTAACCTTATACATTACTCCCCTTCAAAACTTTTTCTGCAGCCAAAATGGTGGCTTTCTCCATGTTCCTCACACACAACTTTCCACACACCCCTTCTGTGCTTTTGCCTAGGCTCTTCATGCCTGGAATACACTCCCTTCTCACCGCAATACTCAGTTCAAATGCCACCTTTTGGTTGAGATCCTTGTTGATTTTCCCCACTCCTTAGCATCTCTCCCCATTACCTTGTATTTGTTTCATATATACCTATTTTCTCTCTTAGAAGAGAGGGCAAGGACTGTCCAATTTTTGCCTCTGTATCTCCAGAATCTAACATGGTTGCCCGGCACATATGGTAGGTTCTCAACACATTCTTGTGGGATAATTGAAGTGCTTTTGCAAACCTTAAAATATTCTTTCCATTTCAGCTATTATTACTTACAGACCTGCTTTTTAAAAAATGTCAGTTTCAAATACCAAACCACTTGTATAACCCTAGATCTGTTCTCCTGACTCCAAAAAACCTTCTGTGGTTCCTTACTGCAAACTGAATTATTTAAATTCCTGACCCCAGGCAAGTCATTTTATTTCTCTACTCCTCAGTTTCCTCATCTGTTTAAAAAAAAATAGAGGGGCCGGATTAGATGCCCTTAAGGTTCCTCCCATCTCTAAATCCGAGGTCTTTCTAGGCACCAGCTCCTCTTCACCCTCCCCCGCGTTCTACCGCAGACTCGGGCAAAGGGCGGCCTAGAGCGGTCCAGAGGGCGCGAGACCAGACGGAAAAAGCGGAGCGGAGCCCGGCCGAGCGCGAACTTTGGCCGCGGGCTGCGGAACCCAGCTACAGCCATGGCTCCTCTGCGCTTCGCAGCCAACCTGTCGTGGCTGTTCTCGGAGCAGGGCCCGGCTCTGAGCGCTCGCCTCGAGGCCGCAGCCCGGGCTGGCTTCAAGGTGGCCGAAGTGGCCTGGCCGTACGCGGAGCCCGCTGCACAGCTGGCGGCGGCGGCGCAGGCAGCCGGGCTACGGCTGGTGTTGCTCAACACGCCGCCGGGGGCCACGGACCTCGGCGAGCTGGGGCTGGGCGCCGTGCCCGGGCGCCAGGACGCCTTCCGCGAGGGGCTGGAGCTGGCGGTCGCGTACGCGCGGGAGCTTGGCTGCCCCCAGGTGCACCTGATGGCTGGCCGCGTCCCGCAGGGCGCCGAGCGCGCCGCAGTGGCCCGGGACATGGAGGCCGTGTTCGTGGAGAACCTGCGGCACGCCTCCGACGTGCTGGCCCGCGAGAACCTCGTGGGGCTCGTGGAGCCCATCAACAGCCGGCTTACGGACCCTCGCTACTTCCTGGACACGCCAGAGCAGGCAGCAGCCATCCTGCGCCGGGTGGACAGGCCCAACCTGCGGCTGCAGCTGGACATGTTCCACTGGCAGATCATGGGTGGGAACCTGACTGCCAACATCCGTGCCTTCCTGCCCCTGGTTGGGCACGTGCAGGTGGCCCAAGTGCCTGACCGCGGCGAGCCCGACAGCCCCGGAGAGCTCAATTTCCCCTACTTGTTCCAGCTGTTGGAGGAGCTGGGCTACACAGGCTACGTGGGCTGCGAGTACCGGCCCCGCGGGGACACCAATGAAGGTCTCGGCTGGTTGCGGGCCTATTGGGAGAGCCGGGGCGGGCCATGCTGAGAGCCTTGCAGATGACCCAGCTTATCAAATGCCCCTTCCATCCCCTACCACCCTACCCTTAAGAAAGACACCACCCCACAAAACACGTTATGTGTTATCTCTTCTGATAGAATGTAAACTCGAGGACGGTTAATCATAGTATCCCCACTGCCCAGCACTTGTGTGGCTTAATAAATGCTTACTGTTTGACTGATTTGAAGAACTATTATAAAGCTTCTTAGCCTTAGAATGTACCTTAGAATTTTGGGGGTGGAGGGATCATAAAAAAGGCCAGCCTCCTAACCGGCCCAGAATCGGAAATCATCTAATCCACTCCTTCAGTGAGTGGCAGGCCTGGAATAGAGTTCAGGGCTCCTGGGCCCAAGGGCGGTGATTTACAAATGCAAGGGTACTATAATGATTTACAAAACTTCATGGGAAGGAGAGTGCTTTTTCTCCTAACTGCTCATAGAGGATAAGCAGGAGTGGCTCTTCTTCAGGAGCTTGGAGGAGGCTAACTGAATTCCTTGGAGGTGTCAGCAATCTATGAGCTTGGTCGGATTTGTCCTTTCCCACACAGATTCAGGCTCTCTCTTATGGCATGACTTAGCTAATTTTGTCCTGTGAATTAAATACTGCCTCCTACATTACTACTTACTCCACTACTGTTTGTTCATTCCCTACATTGTTTTCAGCCATGTTCACAGATTGCTTATCCTGTCCTGAGGTTGGGAAGCATTGACTACCATGGCAAGGTCCATTCCTGGTTTTCGTATTTGGAATTCTATTTCCAATGATTAAGGAATCTCCACCTACCTAATTTTGGATTATGTCTAGATAAAAGGACAATGATGTATTGCTCCAATTCAGAGTCCTCTATGTAGGGAGCCTTGAACACCTACAAGCTTACTAGTTTTCTAAATGCCCTTTTCTCCTTTATCAGCTTTGCTATCTAATCATTTGCCTTTTCAAGGAAGAGAAACCCAAAACTCCAGAAAATGATGGATACTCCTTGCATGGCTGAGACTTGGGTACATTTCAGTTTAATTTTATGATTCCTGAAGTACTTTCTGTATTTTCCCTTTCCTCTACTACGAGAACCTCTGCTTCCTACAATCCCTATCCAGTTACATTCCTTATGAAGTCTGGCCTGCCTGGTTGCTGTTGACCTTTATATTCCATGTGTATAAAAAAGTTAATTTGGGGGGCAGCTAGGTGGCACAGTGGATAGAGCACTGGCCCTGAAGTCAGGAGGACGTGAGTTCAAATTCGGCCTCAGACCAAACACTTGACACTTACTAGCTGTGTGACCCCGGGCAAGTCACTTAACCCCAAATGCCTAAAAATAAAAAAAAATTAAAAAGTTAATTTTGAGTAAGTTGAAGCACTTGCCATGACCTTGTGGCAGTCCTTCACATGGCCTCCCAGTAACCCTAGGACCACTTATAACATGGGCATATTTGGTACTAGCCGATCCTTACTATGCTTTGCAGAGAAGAAAAACCAAATTATCTCTCTTCCATCCCTTAGAGCTCTTTGACTGGCAAGGAACAAAGAGCAGCAGGGCATAGGGAAGGCAGCACTTGCCTTGATGTCAGAAGAACTGAGCTCGAGATCTATTTCAGTAATATACTAGCTCTGTAACTTGGAAAAAAATCACAACTTCTCATCAGGAAACTGGGATATTTGTCCTTCCTTCTTCGTGGGTATTGTCAGGATCCAATCAAATGAATGTGAGGGTGTTTTTTGCCGACAGTACATGCCATTAGAAATGAAGCAGCTCATATGCTTTTCACACAGCTATGAATCTGGGATGGATTCCCAACCAAAAAAGGGGTGTGTCAATTACAAAAGACAAAAGAGATAATTCTGATTTTATAAAATTGAAAAGCTTCTTGAACACCCAGTTACCACATAGAATAAGATGAGAAGTAAGGGGGAGAGGGGAATCTATTTCAAATATCTCCAATAAGATTTTGGTGAACAAAATATATACAAACAACTAACAAATATTATGACCAAAAGACATTCCCAATAGATCATTGGTAAAAACAGTTCCCAAGGGGCAGCTAGGTGGTGCAGTAGATGGAGCACCAGCCCTAAAGTCAAGAGGACCTGAGTTCAAATCTGGCCTCAGACCAAACACTTGACACTTACTAGCTGTGTGACCCTGGGCAAGTCACTTAACTCCACTGCCTAGCAAAAATTAAAAAAAAAAAGATTGTGAAAACAGTTCCCAAAAGAAGAATTGCAAACTGTGAACAAGCACGTGAAAGGCTGCTCCAAATCACTCATATTAAGAGAAGTCTGAGCTTGACTTCATGCCCAGCAAATTGGCAAAGATAACAAAAGAAAAGAATAGTCAAAGTTGGAGGGATTGTGGAAAGAAAAGCATGCTAAGGCATTCATTGCTGGCAGAACTGTGAAGTCATGAACTGGAACGATTATTCTGGGCAGCAATTTGGAATTATGCAAATAAAGTGGTTAATATGTCCAAACCATTGAACCCAGAGTTTCCACTACTGGCAATATATGCCAATAAAGTCACTCACAAAAAAAAAAGGCTCCATATGCACCCAAATAGTTTTAGCAACATTTTTTCTGTAGCAACAACTTGGAAACAAAGATGTCCACTCATTTTGGCTGGCCAAACTGTGGTACACGAATGTAATGGAGTATTATTGTGCTGAAAATTACAATTAGCATGTAGAATACAGAAAATCATGGAAAGACTTATATGAACTGACACAGAGTAAAGTAAGCAGAGCCAGGAATACAATATTGCAATGACTGCAAAAATGTAAATGGAAAGAACAGCTACAAAACAATTGAAACTAAATGTTGCAGAATTATAAACAACAAGCTTGGCTCCAAAGAGATCTAAGACACTTTCCCCTACTCTTTTCCAGAAGCCAGAGTGCACAGTTATGGAATATTACATTGTGACAATTAAAAAGGTTTGAGGACATAGTTTCTGGGTAATTTAATCATTTTATTAATAAGGCCAGCAGGTTAATAATAAAAGGATGGTCATTTGGCCATCTCTTAGACCAAAGACAATCATGGTGGCAGGCTGAGTTCATATACCTTTCAAAGAGTAGATGCTAAATGGGGGGCTGAGAGTGACAACATGACATTCCTGGACAGAGAAACTATATACTCAGACCACCCCCAGCCTTGGGCTATCTAGACAAAAGCATCCAAGCTTGATTGAAACACAATGGCCTTCCCCAACTTAGATTAAGTTCCTTGTAAGGTTGGGGGAAGGTATAACCAAAATTGAGGAGAGTTAATTCAATTTCATTATCAGTAATGTCTTTCAAGAGACTGAACTTAAAATCAGGACTTTGGAAGAAGGGGAGAGCACTGAATCTCCCAAGACATTAGTTATTTATAGTCATGTTTCTCAACATATAACAACAGTTTTTTTCAGTGTGTTAATCAGACTTTCTTAATTTTTTCTCTCTCTTTTTTTTTTGGTGAGGCAACTGGGGTTAAGTGACTTGCCCAGGGTCACATAGCTAGTATCACATGTCTGAGGCCACATTTGAACTCAGGTCCTTCTAACTCCAAGGCTGGTTCTCTATTCACTGTGCCACCTCCCTGCCCCCTCTTTTTCTTTTAAAAAAAAATCATCTATTGGGGCAGCGAGGTGGTGCAGTAGATAGAGTACTGGCCCTGAAGTCAGGAGGACCTGAGTTCAAATGCAGCCTCAGACACATAACACTCATTAGGTGTGTGACTCTGGGCAAGTCACTTAACCCCAATTGCCTCAATATAAAAAAAATCATCTGTTACAAGAAATGGCTCGCTAGAATTGGGGAGATAAAAAACCTAGGTAATATAAAAAGCAGTATCAATAAAAATCTATTTTAAAATTGCAAATGCTATTAAATGAAAGTAGTATGATTGTTACTAGACATGCTTCATTTTACAGACAAGAAAACAAAAGTTCAAGACCATACAGCAAGTAGTAGAGTTGGGCCTTGAACCCAAGTCCTCTGATTTCAAGGTCCTGATTATCCCATCACACCACAGTGCTGCTCTTTTATCCTTGGGTATCAGGAGTGAGATGGCAGAATAAGTGGTGTTAACTATGCCCAGCTCTCCTTCATCACCTCAAGACAATAATGAATGTGCCAAATAAAGTCAAACAACAAATGGCAAAAAGGAGGAAACAAAGGATAAGAGATTTAGAATTGGAAGGGTCCTTAAAGGCCATTTAGTCCAACCATTTTATTTTAGAAATGAGCTAACTGAAGTTCAAAGAGGTATCTTGCCTAGGATCACACAGCTAGTAAGTATCTGAGGCAGAACACTTACATCCAATGTCTATCCACCACATGGATAGAACTATGTTACCTAATGCCTGGAAAGGAAATTAAATCACACTGCCTAAACATAACTGAAGAAATGAGGAGGCATGTCCAAAAACCCAGAGGAAAAAAGTAATCTAGCAACCCCCTGAGTTATCCTTCCACATCAGGATGAGCAGAAACAAACACAAGAAGAAAAGCTTCTAAAGAGAGTAACTGCCTTCTATCCAATGCAAGGGGGCCAGGATTTCTTTTTTATTTTTTTTATTTTTTTCCCCAATTACAAGTAAAGACAATTTTAATATTCATTTTTTAAAATTCTGAGTTTCATCTTCTCTCCCCTCCCTCAACCCCCCCCACAACGTGGTAAGCAGTTTGACACAGGTTATACATGTGCAGTCATACAAAACATACTTCCATATCATTCGTGTTTTGAAAGAAGATACAGACTCCCCACCCCACCCACCAAAAAAAAACCCACACAAAAAATAATGAGGGGCCAGTATTTCTCAGAGAGGTTAGAATCCTGGAAGTACCTTCACTATTCATATTGCCAGCTACAGCCAGCTACAGGCAGAAAGGAGGAGACCCCATCAAAAAGTATTTGAGTATCTAGCAACACAGTTGTGACCTATAAGGAATGAACAGCCAAACAGCAACTTCTGCAGAGAAAGTAACAAGAACTTGAGATAAAAGAAATTGCCAAAATGAAGGGGAAAATCCACAGCCTGGAAAATAATTTTTTCCTCTGGCAAACAATTATGTATGACACATTCACACTGAACTGTAAGAGGTTTGAGACCAGTTAGAACTGTGACCAGTATGCCATTATTTCCCTGAAAGTTTTTTCCTTGGGATTTTTTTAGGGTTTGGTTCTCCTCATAGATTATTCCCATTAGAAGTC